TTGTGTATGGGGACCTCTGCTGACCACACCTGACTTCACAGCTGTGACTAGGACAGGTTCTCCCTCCCTCTTGTTTTGATTTGTTTGTTTTTCAAGGCAGTGTTGTAGTAAGAGTTAATCTCAATCATGGGGTTTCTACCCCACCTTTGATCATTCAGTTTCCAGAAGAAAACACACAAAACCTTTATATTTATGATACGCCTTTAATGTACTAGAGCTGGACAGAGATCCACCCTCTATGCTGTCAGTATCTACTTCCCCATCAGTAACCCCGCATTATAGCTTGCCATGTCACATCTGGGCCACTCTTAACTTCAAGTTGGCCACCCCTCATGGCCATGTTTTCATTATTCACCTAACCCATGGCATCTTCTCTCTCCAATGTCTTCTCTGTGGTCCTGCCTCAGACCTCAAGCTCCAGGAACCAAAAACTCACCTCTCTTCTGCCCAGCTATAGGCTGTAGGTATCTTTATTCAACCAATAGTTTTAAATTAAGGAGCAAGGTTACATAGTATCACTTGGTATATGTGAAGCTTTCCTCATCCCTCAGGCAACCAGACCTTGGGGGCCAGTGTTGAACATAGCTACAGCCCAAACCTCAATAAGACAGATTTTTTTCAGTGTTGCCCTAAATGCGTTCTTCCAAGAGGAATCAGTTTCGTGAAACTTTTATAGATACAGAACAAAAGAAAGCCACAAATCAATGAATTTGCTAAGTACACTGGGAGAGGCACAGTGGAGTGAAGCAAAGCAAGGAAGTCTCTGCTCTATGATGCTGTATGATAGTAGAATTAACTTGGGGAGGGGTGCTAGTGGTCCGCTCAGTTAACACTCCCAACATTTGTAAGCATTAAGTCAAAGTGATGTTAGATCACTTGCAGAAGTGGCTGACGTATGGCTGGCTATTGAGAGAATGACGGGCCTGATGAGATGACGCCACAGGAAAAGGCCGATAAGCCCGATGACAGGACTTTGATCCCTGAGTCCCATAAGATGGGAGAAAGCCAACTCCATCTCATAAGTTGTCTTCGAATGGTCATCCATGTGCTGTTATTGGGTGTATTCCCTCTCACACAAACACAAATAGAATTTTAAAAATTTAAAAAATCTCCAAGAGAGCTAAATTTGGCTTTGTGCCCGCAGCCTCCTAGCTCTCCACAATCACAGTGCTATCTGCACAGCCTTCAGTACTGGCACAGCCTTCTTAGGAAATCTCTAATCCATACAAGGAGGGTCTGCATTTCCAGTTCCAGGCTCAGGGTCAGATCCTTGCAGCACAGAGATCGAATGGATTCTGTCCCCACTCCTGTTCTTGGTCCTGGGTTTTGAACTTCTGTTTGTTTTTGTTTTTTTTTTTTTTTCTGGCCAAGTATTCCAGCTCTGTAGCCAAAGAGAGAAAGAGTTCTTGCTCATTACCTTGGGAGAGTGTGCAAATATTTTCTAGAAGCCGTCATAGGTTAGGCAGCATTTTGTTACTGTGGATTTTATGTTGATAACATAGTTTTGGCTTCTAAGTCAGATGTGTCTCAGCTTGACCTTCTGACTCAGACATTAACCTCCTGGCTCACCTGAGTTTCTTATTTGTGGGTTTCCTCACTACATCTGGCACCTGGGATTCTACTTTATTGGTTACCATATGAACTGCAGTACTTTGTGTGATTATATTTCATTGTGAATCCATGTACTTTCGGGAGGGCATATGCCTTTCATATCTGCATGCATCACTAGATGGACCAGGTGCTATTTTTCTGTTGAGAAAAACACATGAAGAGCTTTTAAATATGTTTAAAGATATGTGCTACTTCTTTTACTTCTTTTCTTTTTATTGAAAACAGATTTTTTTCTCTCATGTAATGTATCCTGATACAGTATCCCTCACTCTACTCCACGCAGGTCTTCTCCTCTCTATCCCCTCCGGATCCACCCCATTTCTGACTCATTTAAAAGATATGCTTCCTAGGGATAATAGTATGAGAAGATAAATCAAAGACTAACATATCAGAACAGAACAAACCAAACAAACAGAAGGAAAAGAACCAAAGTGAAGGCACAAGAAACAGCCACTCGTTTGCACACTCAGGATCCTATAAAAAAAATATTGAACTGGAAGCCATAATACACAGAGAACCTGTATTGTTAAAAGAGAAAAGAAAAATATAAATAAAATGAAAATAAATAGTAAGATTAAATTAAGGAACAACAAAACAAACAGACTTAAGGCAAGACCCTGATTCGACATTGAGACTTGAAGCCAACAAAGATGCTGTTGAGTTCACTTTCTGTTGGCCATCAACTGTGGGATGTGAAGCCCGCCCTTAAGGGTAGTTTGTTTGCCCAGTGAGACTCTCTTAGAGAAAACTAAATTTCATTTGCAAGTTATCTATCAATTGGAGATTGCTTCTGGGTTAGGGATGGGGACACTTATAAGATATTCCTCCCATCTTTTTTTGGCACTTAATGCTTGAACTTGACTTTATAACCTCTTCCATTGTGTCCAATAAGTTTGGGTGTATTGTGTATTCATTTTTATTGAATTCTAGAAAGTCTTTAATTTCTTTCTTAATTTCTATCTTGGCTCATTTTTTTTATTCAGTAATGAGCTGTGTTGTTTCCATGTGTGTGTAGGCTTTCTGTTATTTTTGCTGTTGATATCCAGCTTTAATTGATGGTAGTCACATGGGATGTAGGGTGTTATTTCAATTTTCTTACATCTGTTGAAATTTGCTTTCTATCTGATTATGTGATTAACTTTGGAGAAAGATCCACAAGGTGCTGAGAAGAAAGTGTATTATTTGGTGCTCAGGTGAAATGTTCTGTAAATATATGTCAGATCTACTTGGTTTATACATCAGTTAGCTCCAGCGTTTCTCTGAGTAATTTTTGTCTAGATATCCTGTCTATTGACAAGAGTAGGGTATTGAAGTCTCCCACTATTGGTGTGTACGAGTCACTTTGTAAATAAAGCTGAAGTAGTGTTTCTTTATGAACTTGGGTGTTTTTGTGTTAAGAATTGAAATGTCTTCTTGGTGTGTTTTTCCATTGATGAGTATATGTGACCTTTCTATCTCTTCTGATTAGTTTTGATTTGAAGTCTATTTTGTCAAATATTAAAATGGCTACGCCAGCTTGTCTTGTAGGTCCATTTATTTGGAATATATTTTCTCATCCTTTTATCCTGAGGTGATGTCTATCCTTGCTGTTAAGATGCATTTCTTGGATGCAGCTGAAGAATGGTTCCAATTTTCACATCCATACTGTTCTTATTTGGGGAATTAAGACCATTGATGTGAAAGATATCAATGAGCATTTTTTATTCCTGTTATTTGGTAGTGGGGAGAGAGAGAGGAATGGAGGAAGACAGAGAGAGAGGGAGAGAGGGAGAGAAGGAGGAAGGGAGGGCGGGAGGGAGGGAGGGAGGGAGGAAGAGAGAGAGAGACAGAGACAGAGACAGAGACAGAGACAGAGACAGTTTCCCCTCCTTTGATTTGCTGGTCTGTGATTATTTATTTGCTGTGTTTTCTTGGTGTGTTAACCTCTTTTGGTTGGAGTTTTCCTTCTAGCACTGTCCTTAGGACTGGATTTGTAGATTGATATTGCTTAAATTTGGTCTTATCATAGAATTTCTCATTTTGCCTTCCATGGTAATTGAAACTTTTGCTGGATGTAGTAGTCTGGACTGGCATCTGTGGTCGCTTAGAATCTGTAAAACATCTTCTCAGGCCCTTCTGGCTTTTAGTCTCACTGAGAAGTCAGGTGTTATTCTAATACATCTGCCTTTATATGTTAATTGGTCTTTTTGTTGAAGCTTATAATAGTCTTTATTTGCTCTGTACTTTCAGTGTTTGTATTATTTTGCAGCAAGAGGATTTTCTTTTCTGGTCCAGTCTATTTGATGTTCTGTATGCTTCTTGTACCGTGATAGGCATCTCCTTCTATAAACTAGAAAAGTTTCTCTTCTATGATTTTTGCTTAAAATGCTTTTTGTGCCTTTGGCCTGGGTTTCTTCTTCCTCTTCTATTCCTATTATTCTTAGATTTGGTTTTCTCATAATGTTCCTTATTTCCTGGATGTTTTGTATCAGAATCTTTTTAGATTTAATATTTTCTTTGACCAAGGTATGCATTTTTTATTGTATCTTCACTTTCTGAGATTCTCTCTTGCATTCTTTGATTGTGTGCAGTTCCCATCCAAGGTCCCTGTTTGAGTTTCTAAATTTCATCTCCAGATTTCCCCCAGGCTTCTGTTTAAATTGTATTTCCACTTTCAGGTCTTGAACTGTTTTATTCACTTTCTTCCACTGCTTGTGTTTCTGTGGATTTCTTTAATGGATTTATTAATTTCCTCTTTAAGGACCCATATCAGATTCATAAAGACTTTTTAATGGCTTTCAGATGTTTTGCAATACTCAAAACTTACTGTAGTAAAGTTGCTGGGCTCTAGTGTGGAGGAATACTGTCCTGGCTAGTTTTGTTGTTTTGTTTTGTTTTGTTTTGTTTTGTTGGCTTTTAGGCATCTGAGTTTGGGAAGATTTTAATTCTTGATACTGGTATTTGATTATGGTTTTGTGGGTGGATGTTTTCTTCCTCAGTTTTTGCTGCCCTCTATGGTTCTTAGGAGGCTTTGGTGGCTGTGATTTCTGGTAAGAAATTCTTTCATATCCCACTAGATATGGCCACTGGGGCTTCCAGGTGAGCTGTATTTCTAGGTATTGAAAGGTGACTCTTAGAAATGAGGATGGGCTAGGAGACATCTGAGAGGATCCACAGGAAAGAGGGGAAATCAGAATGTTCTACCATGATCTGCTTAGCTCCCTGGGAATGGGGACAAGGAAGAAAGAGGCTGCAGCAGGTGATCTGCTACAGGGAAGGATATGAGACTTGGAGGTTGGCTTTAGAGGAGTGGAGGAGAGGTGAGGAGTTACAGTTAGCCTGCCTGCTTCCCTGGTCAGAGTCAAGAAATATGTGATTTCAATGGACCCATTTTCCTCCATTTTTTTCAGTGCAGAGTTGGAAGAAGCACATAATTATGACACAACGATTTCATATCTGAGACACTCTGACAACTCCACTAACTTGTGTGCTGCTGGAGAAAGTGCTGAAGGTAAGTCTGCCAAAGCCAACGAATATTATAACCTGTGTGGGTAGAAATGTGGCAAGATGGTATTTCCCCTATAGCCAGTGAGACGTTAAGGTTGTCACAGTCATTCCACTCTGCCATCTTACTTCTCTTTTATCTCTCCCATATCTAGTCTTTTAACAGTACATATCAGTCCAGTTGGGCATCAGCGCTGATCTGGATCCCTAATACCTGACTCCTCTATGTACCTCCTCCTTTCTCTCATTCCTTTCCATCTCCCCTCATTTTAACTGCTTTGCCCCTTGTATGTGTGTAGGTGGAAAGTCACTGTGATTCAGTGGCCCTCACTTGTCTTATGAAAGTCTCTCATCTCATATCTTCTTGAAAGTACTTAGTGTGTGGAAATAGAGAGAGTACATGATAATAGCTGGGCTTTGTGTTCAATATAATTAAGAAAAGGCCGTTATCTAGTAGTTCTTGGAGTCCAAAGCCAAGTCCTCCAGCCTTTCATATTGCTCGGAAGGTTTCGTGCAAGGGAGTCTCCCAGGGGAAAAGAATAAGAGGCAGAGACTTATAATATTACTGCAAGTTTCAAGGTATTTGTTTTGCTGACAGAATCATCCAGTTCTCTGTAGAAGCCATAAGTATCAGTGCTAGAATCAATACTAGGACTTACAGAGCCAGCGCTAAGGACTGCATTTCTCTGCTAGGCCCTCTGCGCAGATGTTTGCAGATTGAACGCTCCCATTCCCCCACTGCTAGAGACAGGAGACTGAAGATCAGAGAGATCGAGCTGTACATGGTGACCCAAGTACTGTGTGGTAGAGCAGTAGTGTAAAACAGGCTCAGCCTGTCTGGACACTCCATGCTCTGTCCATAAATCTAGCTACATCTTACTGAGGGGAGCTTATCTCCCTTGCAAGGAGGCTCCAGGGGAGTCTTCTGCCTCAATTATTACCGTACCAACAAAAAGACTTAGATTATAGGAAAGAAGTCATTGTCCTGGAATTTGTGTCATAAAACATGAAGACTTACTGACATTTCACTGTTGTTTCCTAGAAGTGAGAAATTGAATAGCTACTAGAAAATTCAACTGGGCAAAGTCTACATCAGTGGGATGAAAATCCTGCAATTGGCTACTGATGTCTGCCAAAGGTGTAGGATTTTGTTCTTGTTTGCTTTTTGTTTTGTTTTCAATTCACTGCCTATCCTATGACAGTGGGGTTCTAAAAATCTAAGAAGTAGACGGTGTCCTTGTGCCCTGATAAAGTTTGAATTGGGATAAATCAGATCATCTGTGAGAAACCAGGATCCTCCCTTGAGATAAAATACTAGCCATAGGAAGAGAACAGGGCTTTGTGCTTTCTCATGTTTGCACTGACCCGAGGAAATCTTACAGTATAGATTCTAGTTCCACAGCTCCGGTATGTGGCCTTGGAGCCCAGTTTCTTAACAAGTTCACCATTCATCTGATGCTCCTAGTCTGTCCACTGTACTTTGACTAGAGAGTCTAGGGCCACATGAGGGCAGAATTTTCAGTTCTTGACTTTCTTCAAGACTAAAGGCTCACAGAACCAAGGGGAAGTTTGAGTCTAAGTCTGCACCTTTATTCTCTGTACCCCTGAGACTCCCTTACCCAAAACCTACTATTCTAGAAATGCCTTACCAAGATCCTGGTTTGGGATTCTCTGTTGATCCATCTTCCTCATGACAAGCTGAGCTGCAGGGGAGGTATATGGATGATCTCATACATACAGGGTTATTCATGCTGGAGGGTGAAGCTGAGGGCTGACTATGGAAAGCTGGACAAGTCATCATTCATTCATTCTGTAGCACAAATTCCAAATTGGGCCTTCTGTGGGACACCATTTCAGATACCTAAAGAAGGAATTACTAACCCAAGCCTTTCTTCAGGCTTTTCTGAAGAGTCAGTCCTTTGCGTACTTCAAGGAGGTCAGGGCTGATGACCAAAAAGTCAGAAAGGGCTCAGAAAATGAGACCTGGTCCAACTAAGAAATGATTGTGTGGACCAGCAGGGAGTCAGATGGGAGGGGATGGAGATGGCTAAGACTACCTTTGTAAAAGGACATCTTTGTAATAGATTAGAACAGCCCAGGTAAGACTTGAAAAACTGAAGATCTGTGGCCAGCTGTCAGGAGTTGTTCTGTCTGTGTCCTACCCCCTTACAAAGATCAATGGAATTGACAAATCTCTAGAAAGAGTGACTTAAAAAATTAACAATCTCAGGAATAAAGTGGGGATCACCTCACAGATCCTGTGGGTACCAAGAAATAAGGAAGCATTACAAAGCACTGTACACACATGAATGTGGCAACTTAGACAAAAGCAAAACAATTCCTCCTAAAGGTCATACCACCATGAATCACCCAACATAATTTGATAACTTGTAACACTTAGGAAAACTTGAACTTAGAATTTAAAGAGTCCCCCAAATAGGGACTGAGGCCATGGCTCAGTGGGTAGAGAGCTTGCCATGTAAGTGTGAGGACTGGCGTTTTAATTCCCAGGGCGCATGTGAAAGCCAGGAGGTGTAGCTGCCACCTATAATCCCAGCATTTGGAAAGCAGAGATAGGATCAGTGAGACAGCCTGCCTCAGAAAGTAAAATGAAGGGGAGTTAAGGGTACCCAACACTAAGCTCTGGCCTCCAAGTACACATGCACACCTCCAACACACATGGGTGTCCTCATGCATGTGAACATAATATACATATGCACATGCCCATCACACATGGGTATCTGCATACATGATACATGCATGCTTGTGTGAGTATACACATCACATAAGCAAGTTCCCCAAAGAGCATCTACATTCAAATGATTTCACTGAAACATGCTTCCAAACACTTAAAGAAGAGCTAACACTGATGTTTTGCAGCATATTCAAGAAAAATAGAGGCAAACAGTTCCTAGATCATCTCATGAAGTTAGCACAAGCCTGATATTAAGACTAAGCAGACAGCAACCCCCGGTCAATGTCCTTTCTGAGAGTGGCAGTGAAGACCTTTAAATATTATTAAGACTATTAACAATCGAATGCAGCAAGCATAATTGACTGCAGTTTGTATCAGAGATGCAACGCCAGCTCAGTATCCATACGTCAATCAATGCAACCCACCATAATGACGGATTAAAGCAGTTAAATCACGCCATATATTCAGAAAGGATATTGGGCAACTCTGACATACATCATAATTCTTGAAAAAGTAAGGGAAGAGGGGCTCTCCCATGATGATAAGTGATAGCCACAAGAAGCCTCCAGAACATGCTACTTGATGTTAAAGACCGACAGCTTTCTCTCCAAAATCTGAAACAAAAGAATGTCTTCATCTTCTGTGCTTACTCAGTGCAGAGCTGAGAGTTCTAACCAGTAAGCGGCACACAAGGAAGTAAAAGGGCAAAGAGAGATAGCATCTTAATTTGCGGAAATTCCTAAGAGTTTACAAGAACCTACCAAAGCTACACCCCCCCACCCTCCACCCTCACTGCCCGACCCACACCAAGAACTACAACACGGTTGTGTTTGCATGTTCTATCAACGTGCACGTGGCTGCTGCTTTTGAAAAAGTATAATACCTTTTAAGTTTTCTCCCCAGAAGATAAATACACAGGCTTAAACTTGTCACAGCATGCAGAAGACTTAAATGTTAAAGAGTATAAAATTTAGATTGAAAGAAATTTAAATCTAATCCAAATGAATGAAGGAACACGTTTTGTTTGTGGATCAGAAGAACCAATGAGTAAAACTGACAGTAAAAGAAAAAAGAATACATTAGTTCTCCCCAAGTGGTACATAGGCTTAAGGCAGTTCTATAAGAATCCCAGCAAGGTGTTCTGTAGCTATAGCAGGACTAGTCTAAGATGCATGTGGAAATGCAGAGGGACTTAAAATAGCTCCCGACAATTTTGAGAAAGGAAACAGAGAAAGGATCCGACACCTGACTCCAATCCTGTGAACCACAGTGATCAAGATCTTGTGGCTTTGGTGGAGAGACACAGTATAGAAGAATGACACTGGGGAACCAGAAACAGGAGGATGCAAACACATAAAACAGCTATTTACAGAGATGAAAAGCAACTCAATGGAGATGGCCCTTTAGTAGATAAGTATCTATAGATTAGAAAATAATGACGAACTGGAACATAATTCTCACACCTTTTTAAATTTTAATTTAAATAATGTTTCTCTCAAGAGCAAGAAATCAAGAGAGAGACGGGGAGGGGAGAATCCAGAAGTAGGAATCTGTTTTCCTATCAGCGGTTCAATCCATTGAAACAAAGCCAGCAGCTTGGGGTGATAGTACACATGGTGCCCACCTTACAGAGCTCAGTCTTGGGTCACAGGATTCAGCTTGTTCTGGAAACTACATAACTCATCAAGACCAGTGCCCTCTGACTAGCCTCCCTCCTGGGTACCCCGGAATTCTTGACAGGTCTTGGAGAGACTCAGGGCCACCTTCACACCATAAAGTTCTCAGCTGGAAAGCTGTTCTCTTGAGTGGCCTTGAGCAAGCTTTTTCACTTTCTGGAGTATCAGTTTCCATATTGGGAAAGTGTGACTATCAAAAGGAAGGGTATTGCCTACACTATGAAGTTGGCTGCTTTTATTATCGAGTTATTTAATATTAATGATAGTCATCTCACCTGATGTAAAAAGGAGACTTGTCTGAGATCACATGGGATATAGAGAAATAGAGGGTCTCCAGGGAATGAATCGCTGCAGTTGGAAAGTGGCTGAAGAAACTCTTCTGGGTTTTTCTCTTTCCCTACCACCCTGGAAACCCAAGTCATAGAAGGAAAGGTACAGACCCCTGCATAGAAACAGTCAGACTCCAAAGCTGTGGATCAAACCCCGTTAGCATTCCTAGTCCCTTGCTGATTCTTTTGGAGTACAGTTCCCCCCCCCCAACCCTTTTATTTTTGAGATTAGAATCCTTTCTCCCTGCCCTTTCCCCCTTCCTAGACATTCCATCTGTCCCTCCCTGCTCTTTTCCAAGGCTTGTATTCTTCCCTTGGAGTAAGTCTGGCTGCCAAAGCCTCCTGTTGAAGAGACTTCTCTTTGATAGAGCATTGACGCTATGAGGACATTTGTTAGCTGAATATGTAATGTAATCTTTGCCTACTGGCTGGAGCAAGTATCCTCAGAGCATCTGCAAGCCTTGGTTTTGTAGTTTTTAGACATAACATGCACTGATATTCTCCATGGTAGGTAAAGGGAAGCAAGCACAATCATAATTTGTTAATTCTATGAAAGACAGATACAAACATGAAAGAGAAGATTATCTTTTTGAAAAAGTGGAAGCAAGGGACTGGAGAGATGACTCCGTGGTTAAGAGCACTGATTGCTCTTCTGGAGGTCCTGAGTTCAATTCCCAGCAACCACATGGTGGCTCACAACCATCTGTAATGGGATCCGATGCCCTCTTCTGGTGTGTTGGGTGTACTCATATACATATAGCAAATAAAATATTTTTAAAAAAACTTAAAAAAAAGTAGAAACAAGTCAATACTTGGAGATGGCAAAAATTGTGTCATAAGCAGACTTGAATTTTTCTAGATTTATTTTATTCTGTGTCTATGAGTGTTTTGCCTACATGTATGTCTGTGTGCCATGTGTGTTCCTGATACCCAAGGAAGTTAGAAGAGGCTCTTAGAACCCCCTGAAACTGGAGATGCAGGTGGATCTGTGCTACCATGTGGATGCTGGGACTTGAACCTATGTCCTCCACAAAACCACACGTGTTCTTAACTACTAAACCATCTCTCCAGCCCCATAAACATATTTATTTTTTAAAAAGGGTGGATATTAAACAAAAAATTAATACAAAGGGCATAAAATATTTTTCCTGAATAAGAAACAACTAAAGATAAACATCTGTAGTTACCTAAGTAGAACTACATTATTAATCATGAATGTAGAAATTAAGGTCTAAGAAAACCTAAATTTTAGAGAAAATTAGGATTAGGTTTATTTTGTCAGTGGACTATATGTTTATATTAAGATATGATCAATGGGACATTTTTGTTCAATTTTAGGCTAGTAGTAGAAGAAACAAAACAGAAGCCCTGCCTGCTCCACACCTCCATCCCAGTTCAAAACTTTTAGAGAGGTTTGCTAAGCAAGAAGTAGTGAGAAGCAATTTTCTGGAAAATCTGACACTTTTCATAAATGTCCAGTGTCTTGTAGACAACATTTCTAATTGCTATCTGGGAAGTACTGATGGCCCAGCTTCACAGATGAACAGGCTCATGGGAATTCACCTGAACCGCTCAGGAAGAGTGACAGGACTCATCCCTGAAGCCAATTCTTACATTTTTAAAAAACCAATTCCCACAATTTTAAATAATTAGGGAAGTCATGATCTTGTTAACCATTAGGAAAGTCAGAAGATATTTATGTCCTCTCAGGCTCCTCTTTCAAGCTAAGTTTAGGGAAAAGGCACTTGGGACAGAATCTGGCAAATATCTGTTGAATTTGACTCAGGTTCCTGTTAATCTGTCTCCCCAGCCCCAGTCCCCCCGCTACACACCCTATACACCCCCCACACACACACACATACTCCCCACCCTCCCACATACATCCCCCACACACACACACCTTTCAAATTTGTCTTCTAAGTGCTGCTACTGATTTTCAATGCTTTCTTTTAAGCAGGATGCTTTCATCAGTTATAAATTCCACCCTGGAAATCCCCATAAAATTCAAACCTTGAACCTTAGAATTTTCCTACCCGTGCAGAGCAGGTCATAGATCAATGCTCTGAAGGGTGAGAAAACTGGACTCTGTAACCATGTGAATTGTGCTAATCCTGAATTCTGTGAGAGATGAGTAGATAAACTGACTTCAAATATCTTTTGTTTATTTTAGCCACTTATGAAATTGAGATTGAAGAACTCCAAAAGGTATTGCTTCTCCTGACCTTACTGATATGTGACTAAGAATACTACACTCCCACAGACGTGAGTCTAGGGTATTCTCCAGCAAGATGAAAGCTCCTTATTTGCAGCAGGCTTTTCCAGGCTCCTAGTGGTCAGGATCCTGAACCCTGAACCTTTTATGTAGAGTTAGAAGGTGTGTACTGAGATGAGCAGACATGGTCTGAATTGATCCTTGGCCCCTCCCTCATCTCTTTTGATCTGTGCCAATAGCTTTACTAACTACCTCTTTCAGAGAGACAAGTCCTTTAGGATAATCCAAGTTTATATATTTTATGTTTTCAAGAAAACAACCAGAGCCTGGAAGGAATACTTCCTGGGCTCCTGCTGGTGGTGTTAAGTGCCACCTGGGAGATGATGTAGCAATTCAGTTGGGGCCCCCAAGTAGAATTGTACAGGCCTCAGTCAGATTCTGACTATGACCTTGAATATTGCTCAATGTCCTCACCTGTACAATTAATAGAACACCCATATCTAGAGTCCTTGTGAGGGTTCATAAGGCAAGCCCTGAAGGAATGGTATGTTCAGAAGTACCTGGGACTCAGCATTCAGCTCTCTGAAACACCACTCTTCTGTAAGTGGAGTATTCCCCAGGAGGATAAGAAGCATGTTTTATCACTGTGTCTGCCATAGCAGATGTTGAGTAAAGTGACCGGTACTTCTTCAAATTGCAGACAGCAGTAAATTATATGAACTCTTGCTATAGTGTCTGGCACATAGTAGGCACTTTCTGAGCACTTTTGTGGGATCAGTGAAGGATCTATTCCTTGCTCAGTGGGCTCATTTTGCTCTGGGTGAGCAGAGTCCAGTTTCATCCTTTTTGATGAACTGGCAGTAGGGATGTGTGAGTAGAGTTCATGTTCTTACAAGATGCCCTTGGACCCTTAGAGAAGAGCTAGTCACCTCGTCTCAGAGATCAGAGCTCTGTTTTCTGTGATTGTCATCCTTTCTGCCAGTTAGCTTGTCTGCCTCCTGTTGACACGTGGGTTTCTAGCAGTGATTCCTTCATTTGACCAGGAATTACACAGCAACATCCAATCCTCAAGATGACCCTGGGAGTCAGTACTCCTGCTCCCAACTATAAATGGTAACTTGAGAGCTCAGAGCTATTAAATAGGCAACAATTAATACATCAGAGATATTTAAAAAGGTCCATCTGACTTGTCTTCTAGTGCTGGTTTCCTAGAGTTCTATAAGGAACTACTAGCCACTGGATGAAGGCGTGTGGTGCTCTCCTCCAAACACTGCCTGGGAACTGGTGTGCTTGGCCTTTCAGGCAGCCTGTCAGATTCTTAATTTCTGTTTTCTTAGGAGTTCTTGGCTAGATTCCAAACAGTTACTGACATCAGATGTGGGGCTAGTGATTAAGAGGAAGGTGGGTTGTATTATGTTGTTATCACTGGGACATAATCTTGACGAAACTGAATCTCTGCCACATAACAGTGGGGTTTTGATCAGAGAGCATGAAGTTAGGGAGCGGTCCAAGCAAGATTCACACACTGACCTACGTCAGTTTCGGCAATTGAAACTGCCCAGATAACACATGCAGTGTCCTCTCAGGATCTAGATGCTCTTGACCTTCATAGGCATACCTGGAAAGGGATGCAGAGAAAATGGTCCAAGCCATTTGATGTGCTATAACTTACACACACTGAAAATTTAGAAAAGTTGGTTTCTTTTCTGCTTGGCCTTCAGCCCCATGTGCAAGAAAAGTTCATGGAACATTCTGTGGCCATTGTCTGCTTTCGCCATGTCCTAAGATTCCCCTCCCATTTGATCAAGTCACCTGATGGTCTATAACCAACAACGTAGCCTAATTTGGGTAAACTCACAAAAATGACTGTTTTCCTCTTTGTTTTCAGCCTTGGAGGAGTTTTCTCCTTCCAGAACTGAGGTAAGTTTTATCTGTAAAACAAAAGCACAGTCTAGCCACTGATGACTCATGGCTGAACTCATTTTCTTGCTATGGGCTGGCCATGGTCCCAGTGCATGAACTGGTTCTGTTCCCTGGCACCTTGTAAAGTACCCAGTGCACAGCAGGTTCTCAGTGACCCTGCCTGGCCTTCCTTGCTCTTGTCTTCTTAACCCATACTGTATTCAGGCAGCAAACCCTAGCTGACAAAACAGAGAGGAGGTCATTGAAGATAGATCCATAGACAACACACCGTGATCTAAAGCACACTGGGGGACTCTTAAGTACTGCGACTTAGACAAAAGAGCTCTTTGGTTTGTTAGTAATAGAAGATGCAAATGGCATTTTTGGAAAAACTAAGTAGCTAATAAAAAGGGAGAAGCACTCAAATAAGCTGGTGTGTTTGGGGCAAACGGAGGAGCTAAACCCAAACAGAAGTGGAGGAAAGGAACAAAGAGAGGTGGAATTGGAAAGGTGGAAACCTGGAAGACCACAAGAGGACGTAGATTGTATCCTGGAGATACTGGATAATGAAAGGATTTAAGTAAGAGTTGACATTCTTACTGGTTGGAAAAGGCAGAAGCTCATGCAAGCTATCTGTCTGATTTGTTTGTCCTGGCTCCTCATTTTAAAGGAAAATTCACCATTCTCAGTCATCTCACTTAGACTGGGCTAATCTACCATCTACAGTCAAGACTTTACTTTTCCTTGGTATTTTCATATTTAAGTCCTAGACATAAAGATGAAGAAAACATCACGAAGGAAAAAGAGTCATGTGAATCGGAACCTCCAAAACCAAGAAAGGAGTCACACCTTACCCATCCTCCCAAGGTATCTGTGTCCTAGGCTCCTGATGTGGTTCAACCATGTGATCTTCCTGCTGGGCACTGGTGGTGCACGCCTTTAATCCCAGCACTTGGGAGGCAGAGGCAGGTGGATTTCTGAGTTCGAGGCCAGCCTGGTCTACAGAGTGAGCTCCAGGACAGCCAGGGCTACACAGAAAAACCCTGTCTCAAAAAACAAAAAACAAAAACAAACAAACAAAAAAACCCCATGTGATCTTCCTTAAATACATAGCTGATCAGTGTCATTCACTGCTTGTCTGTCAAAATTAAGAAATAAAATCCAAACTCCTTGATTTGTATGGAAGACCACTCGGAATTCAGTCACAGCCCACCCTGTCTTTAGGCTCATCTCGTCTTCCTCATCTATTTCTTCCCCCTTTTCCTTTCGCTTAGCTCTTGCCACAGCTCCCGGACCACCCCTTCCATGCTATTAGGCCACTAACACTTCTCCAAATAGCCCATATCTTTGCTCATTCTCATTAATCTGCCAGACATCCCTTTCCCCTTCCATCCATCTCCTACCTATATTTTACAAGTTAGACTTTGACAGATTCTGCTTTTGGAGGATTTCCCAAACTCAATCTCCCAGTGAAAAAAACAAATCTCTCCATCCTGTTTCCAGGGCTGTGTACCCTTCCATAAGTAATAATATCACATTAACCCTAATTGCTTGTGAATGTGCACTGTGACCAGTGTTTGAGATGCTCAGTCAACTGCATGGGCTACTTCCAGAGCTGTTCACGCCATCTTACATTCATTATAAGTCTCATAGATCAGAAAATGGAGACTTGAGAAGAAACACAAGGTAGTAGACAAAAAGAAAAATGTCAAGTAAACTGGGGAAGGAGGAGTACCCAGCAGCCTCCTTACAGGTGATGAGAACAGGGATGGAGGGTTATGCCCTCCCTCAGTAGATTACTAATAGTGTGGCCCACCATTGGCTATTTGACCTACCTAGATGCTTTATCAAGAGGACTAACAGCATTTTTTCCTCATGGGATGCCATGATGGTTGAGATGGAATGGAGACCCGGAGGTAGAGTTCTCACTCTCATGGGCCTGCCTCTGTGGGACTCATTAGCACTCAGAAATAAATGAAGGGCATGGTATGTACTCTGGTAAGACATGGGGTCTAGACTTGTTCTCACCAACGAACACATCCTAAAGACCAGAATGCATGAGCAAGGAACTAACTTGGTAATCAGCCCCAGCAGCGCTCTTCCTGTTGTGTGTGTTTAGGTAGTTGTCTGCGAAGAGACTCCAGGAAAAACCAAGATGACTGGAGTCCATGAGGACAGAAGGAGTGTGCCAGCTGGAAACCAGGAAGCCATGACTGACACCATTCAGAACAGGCTCTTCCCGGAGGATATGGCACTGACTAGGCATTCCCAGGATAAGAGTAAGTTACATTTCCCCTGGATTCTCTTCACTACCAAGCTGTTTTAAAGGGAAGTATGGCTGAGATCATAATTTATTTACAGATATATAAAGGACATTTATCATGTACCTAGTAACTCACCTAGAAAGGCTGTCTCCCCAGAGCAGTGGAAAGATCACTAGATTTAGAGGCAAAGGGCTTGAGTTCACGTCTACACATATGTGAACTTAACAGTTGTGTGGTTCATTTGTATTTCACTAGTTCAATTTCTCTGTTAAAAAGGGAATCTGAACATGAACTTCACAGGAGTGTCATGAGGACCAGATCCAACAGGATGTCATGTGACTGTCTTGTTGTCTTCTTGTCTAACCACTGACCCTTGCTCTCACCATTGACAAGTTGATATGACATACAGCATCTCTAAGTGACCGTTTCAGCTGCATTTCAAAACTCTTGATTATAAACAATAACTAAATCATACTTGGTTAAACTACATACTTAAAGGGGGCTCACTTGGCAGAAATTCTAGGCATGGCTTGATCCAGGAACACAGGTAATACCACAAAGACAAAGTAGCCTGAGTTCTCCTCTGAGGCAACTCTGTTTTCAGCCAGAGTTGGTTTCTGTTCAGTCAAGCTGGCAGCAAGCAGAGAGAGTTACATCCTATTCTCTGATAAAGCCCAAAGGAAAACAAGTAATTTTGTCTCTCCAAAGATAAAAAACATGATTCTTACATTGAAATTTGATTGGGTCACGAGCCATTTCAATTAAAAAGTATGCTCTGATGGGACCTAGCTATGCCATACGTTGAGCTAGGAGTGGGTAGATTAATTTCTACCAAGCATCTGTCTTGGTTACTTTTCTGTTGCTGTGAAGAGGCACCATAATCAAGACAACTTAAGAGTTCATGACCATCTTGTCAGGAGACATGGCAGCAGACAGGCAGGTATGGTGCTGGAGCAGCAGTTGAAAGCTTGTGTCTCATCCATAAGCAGAAGGCATATGAGTAGGAACTAACAGGAAGTAATATGAGCTCTATCCAAGTCCAGCCCAGTGACACACCTCCTCTAACAAGGCCACACCTCCTAATCCTTCTCAAAGAGTTCTACCAACTGGAGACCAAATATTCAAATCTATGAGTTTATGTGGGCCATCCTCATTCAAACCAAGACTTCATCACATGGAAGGAAAACAGGATAGCTGTTGTCAGGAGAATAAGAGTAGATGTTACAAAGATGAGAAAATGCCCACTGAAGTACATTGGTCCATGGAAAGTCAGGCCAGACTAGGATGAATTCAGTGATCAAAAGGATAAAGTCAAGGTCCTTGCCATCTACTCTAGGCTCAGGAGTTTTACCTGTGCCACACATATGCCCCCTGCATACTCTCTGCTCTGGAGGAATGACTTCAGAGCAGGTTAGGTGCTTAAACAGCCTTACATTTTGACATGGTCTCTTTCCTCCACCTGGAATATTTTTATACTTACTCCCTTACCTTATTGTCCTAGTCAGCTCTCCAAACTCATCCTTAAAGTCACTTCTGGGGTTTGCTTTACCTTCAGCTTATTTTTCTCTTACCCCAAGTATTAATTTATTTTATCCTGAAAAGACTTAGACAAACCAGGATCTATTTTATAAATGATTTATAGATAAAAGAGGTAGCAGTAAATCACAAAGTGAAGATGTTCTATGTATACATACTGTATTAGTTACTTTGTTGTTGTATTAAAATACTATGGCTAAGGCAACTTAAAGATGGCGTTTATTTTGGGCTAATACTTCCTGAGGGATGACAGTCCCTCATGGCTAGGAGACATAGTAGCCAATGGCAAGCATGATGACAGAAAATGCAGAAACTCACATCTTCAATGGCAAGCAGAAACTGTAAGTAGGGCAAAGCTGTTTGATCTCAAAGTCCACTCCCTAGTAACATATTTCCTCCTGTAAGGCTGCACCACCTACTGCCCACAAACAGTGCTACTTACTGGGAACCTAGTGTTCAAACACATGAGCCTATTATGGGGGCCATTTCTCATCTAAACTGCTGTACATATTTACAAGTTTGACAAAGAACCCATAAAGGGAATATATAAATCTTTTATACAAACATCTTTACATTCATAAAGTATAAAACAGAAACTAACCATGTAAAAAAGGATGGAAGATATTGAAATTGAACAAACATTTGAACTGGCAGTTGATCACAGGAGAAAGAGGGCCTCCAAAAGGTGAATATGCCATGAGAGCCCAAGGTCATTGACTCTCCAGCGAAAGTGGAACTGCAAGTGAAGAGTATCTACCATCATAGTATCTCCAACAGAAAAGACTAAAAACATTCAGTGTTGATGAAGATATGGACCAGGTAGAATGTTCCTATTCTGAGGAGATTGTAAGCTAGGATCATCACCTTGGAAACACTTGTGAATGTTAGAAATAAACACATGCACTTTCAATGTCTAAGCATCCATGTTGGACATATCCCAGCCAGAAATATGTATTCAATTCACAAAAATATACAAATTGTTTATGCCAGAAAATTTTATAATAGTCTCAGACTAGAACTTGTCCAATGAGGAGTAGAATGGAGGACTAGGAAGGACAGCATCCTGAAAGCCCAGAACTCAGGATATGGAGATAGAAGGATGAAGGGTTTGAGGGAGCTTGACCACATAGTGAATGAGGGCTGTGGTTTTCTTTTTAAATGATTCACTGTTTATTTTATGTGCATTAGTGTTTTGCCTGCATCTTGTCTGTCAGGGTCCTTGAAACTGGAGTTACAGACAGTTGTGAGTTGCCATGTGGGTGCTAAGAATTGAACCTGTGTCCTCTGGAAGAGCAGCCAGTGCTCCCAACTACCGAGCCCTCTCTCCATCCCCAGGGCTGTGTCTCATGGGGGAAAATGTAACAACAACAACAAACAGAGTAGACAAATACATTATACCCTGTTCACACAACAGAACAGAAAACATAGTCTTAGTAATGGTCACATTGCAACTATCAGCAACAAACTGGAAGAATCTCTCAGCATAATGCTGAGTGCCAGTGTGCAACACCCAGGAGTGCAAACTGCATTGCTGCATTAATATGAAGATCAAAAGCAGGCAGAATGTACCTAATAGATTGGGAATCAGCACCGCAGTTACCCAGAGGTAGGGAATGGTGTGGGTGCAGCTGGCTCTTCATCTGTATCCGTGAAGATGCTCAGGTTAAGGCAATCTTTGGTGATGTTTTTCCCCTGTATCACACTGTCATTAAGTCTTACAACAGGACTCGGGATCCAGTTCAGTTGGAGTGTGCTTGCCCAGCGTGTGGAAGACTCTTGGTTTTATCCGCAGCACTGGAGTACAAAGACCAACAAACAAACAAAAAATCATGAAAGTAAAAAATAGAAAAAAAAGGCTTTTAAAAGCACAAACATAACACATGCACCTTCTAAAATGAGAAAATTAAAAATACCAGAGAGGAAAACCTTGGTTAATCAAGAAAGAGAAAGATTTAAAAAGTAGAGAAAAAATTTTAAAATATGTTATAATATAGTAGGATACAAACATTTCAATATCAGTAAAAGCTGAGCATGTTAAAATTACTGCTTTGAAAATGCACTGGAATTGTTCAAAATTCAAATATTTGAGTGCCCTTTATGGGTCCCATACTCTAGGTGTGGGGATTTAGCAGTTAAAAAAAAAAACAGAAAAAGAATCTGTTCTTCATGCACATAGGACTGAAGATCCTATCTTTCATACTGTACAAAAATCATTTCAAAATGGATCAAAGACCTTAGTGTAACAACTAAAACCCAGGAAGTCATGAGAAAGACACCTGGGGAAAACCTTAAAAATATGAATGTAAGCAACTAGTTATATAAAATAACTGCAGCAACAAATGAATGAGACTGTGCGAATGTAAAAGCTTCCAGCAGCAAAGAAAACAGCCAAGCACACAGACGGCTACAGAACGAGGGGAAATCGTTGCCAGCTCTAATGGACTATCAATATTGAGAATGAATAAGATTTCAAATTCAGCAATGAAAAGTCAAATAATTCAATCAATAAATGGCACATGAACGCAACAGGGTCTGCTCAAAAGACATACAAAAATATTACATGGAAAAACATTCAACATCCTCAAACCATTAAAGAAATGTAGATCAAAACTATGCTGAGATCACATCTTACCCAATCAGAATGGCCACTGCAACTAAGCAAAGCAAGCTCTAGAGAGAATGTTGGAAGAGGGGCCTTAACCACTGCCGGTGGAGTGCGAATTAGGGCAGCTGCTAAGGAAAGTGATATGACAAAAACCTTCAAGAAACTAAAATGGAACAGTCACATGACACAGCTATCCCAGGGATGGCTGTATGCAGATGGGGGGAGGGGGTCTAAGTCAGCACACCCTTGTTTATCAGAGCACTGCTTAAAACAGGCAAGTTACAGAGTCACCGTCAACTGATGAATGGCTAAAGAAAATGAAACAGAGAGAGGAGGGAAGAAGAGAGGGGAAGAGAGTGTATGTGTTATGAAGAATTGGGGGGCTGAGGGATAGGGAGGTGGCTGCACTAATAAATATCTTGCTTTGACGCATGAGTTTGGGTGTTATAACCTATATCTGAATAAGCAAACAGAAACTATAGTAGGCATGGTGATGTGCTTTATAATTCCAGCCCTGCAGAGACAAAAGCAGGCAAGATCCCTGGGCCTCACCAGCCCGCTCAGTGGGTTCCAGGCCAGTGAGAAAGCCTGTCTCAAAACACAACACTCAAATTTGACTGCTGGCCTCCACACATGCATACAGACTAACACATAGAAGAATGAAATTAGCATTTGTATGAAAATGGAGGGAACTGGAGAGGGACTGAGAAAGACAGGCTCAGAATGATTTAATCATGTTTTCTCTCTCATGCGGAAAGATACAAGAAAGACAAAAGGGTCCGTGTGGAGGGATAGTAGGTAAAGCAAGAAGATAGGTGAGGTAAATAAGATCAGAGTGTATAAACTGAACATGCCACAGTGACGTACATTCTTTGTACAATTAATGTAGATTAATAAAGAATCCCTGTCCCCATAGGGGTTACCTTCTGATCAAATATGGCAGACAATATATAAACAATGAGATATTCTTATGTGAAATGGAAAATTGTTTAAAGAAGCAAAAGAAAAGGAGGTCATGGATGGTAGAACTTGAATGTGTCTGCAGTTAGCAAGTTCTTAAAAGAAATCATGAGACTGGTTTGAAACCCAGTATCCCCAGGACAACCAAATAGAAGTAACATGAAGGATTGTGGTGGCTCTGGAACTGACTGATGTGTTCGTTGAAGATATACATCTGCGAATTTTATTTCTAAGGTGATTCCATGATGCTTTTCATAACTCAATGAGAAAAATTAAGAAAGGCAAAAAGAGCGTTGGAGAGACAGCTCAGGAGTAAGAACATTTGATATTTCAGAGGATCTAGGTTTGGTTCCCAGAATCCACATGGTAGTTCACAGTCATCCATAAGTCCAAGTGTATGGAATCCAACACCCTCTTCTGGCCCCTGAAGGCACCTGGTACACATGTGATATACCCACATACATGCAGGCAAAACACTCATATCCATAAAGTAGAATAAGTACACTTTTTAAAAAGAAAGAAAAAGCACCTGACTATGTGCTTAGCATCTTTATCTTTGCTGGAACTATTCTGATAACTTCTTCTGAAACAGCAAGGCTTCTTCCTCTGGGAACTGACACTCTTTGAAACAGTTTGGGGGTCACATACTTCTTGCAGCAGGATAAAATCTTCTCATTTGGTTCATTTAATTAATAGATACAAGTCACTTCACTTATTGCATATTTTTAGATACACTTCTTATGATAAGTAGTTCATGTCTGAAATGAAAGTAGCTCTGAATCACCCACAGCCTAAATATGAAGCTACAGCAACTGACGAGGAGGAGGTGAGACTTACGGCTGTTTTACAAGTTTACAGCTGAGAAATCCCTGCATTTATCAGGCAGGTTACCTGTGAAAACAATCTCTACACTTTTCAGATTGGCGTGTTACCTGTGGTTAATTCTATCTTTAACCATACACATTGACATGTGTCCAATTAGCTTACTTAAGAATCTTTAAAGAAGAAAAATCAACCAAAAGACGCCATTTTGATGGTAGAGAAAAATCTCCAGGGCTGAAGGACTTCAACACAGAAGGTCAGAAGAGGCATTTCACTGGGCAAGAGCTTTGGTTTGCCAGGGAATCAGCACTCATTGTACGTATACACTGGAACCTTGCACAGTCACACAGCTGGGCTGTTCTTATTACCCTAGCTTCCAGCAGTTGCAGCAGGCTCAACAAGTGGCTTCTCTGAGACCGTGTAGACCATGCTGTCAATTTCACTGCACAGTGACTAAACAGACAACAGAAGAGAGGCTGGGTTTGACTCAGAGTTTACAGGTTTTACTCCACAGCCCTTGGCTCTGCTACTTTTCGATCCGTAGTAGGACAGAGCACCTTAGCGTGGAAGCATGTGAAGGAAGTAGGTCATGGTAGACAGGAAGCAGAGAGGAAAGAAGGGACACGGGATAGCCTTTAAATGCCCCTTACTGACCCAATTCCTCTAACCAGGCTCCACCTACTGAAATTTCAGAACCTAACAAAACAGTATCTCTCTTTCGAGGACAGAACACACATGACCCTTGGGGGGCATCTCTTGCTCAAATCAACACATAGCAAGGTGGCAATCCAGCTTCATCACCTTTATTCTGCCTTTTCCTGCTGTTGCTCCATTGTCAAGGATGCGTGCAGATGTGTCCCTAATAGCCAATGACAACTGTCCCTGGGGTTTCCCTATTTCCCTTACAGGTGGATATGTGGAGGCTTTGGAGGTGACGAAAGAAACTCCAAGTCCAAGCACCATTAGGTCAAGCTCCTCTTCAGAGAAGACTTATGATGATGTGGAGTGCTCCAGAGAAGACATGTAAGTATATTCTGCCCTTCCAGGAGGATGGCTTCGATGAGACTGTGGAGGTGCAGTAGGCTGATGATCTTTATATCTTTCTCCACAGACGAAAATGGGACTTCTCCAGCTCGTTCACCTCAGACAGCGGTAAGTGCTGGTTGGAAAGGCAGAGAGTGCTCCTGAGGCCGAGAAGTGACCACAGCCTTTTATTTGGCCATATTTTCAGTGATTAGAAACTGGATGACGAGATTGTAAACTAAGAGCCCGAGTTCCCGAGGCATGTGCTTAAAGGAAGGAATAGTATTCTTGTGGCTGAAGGCAATTTCACATGAAATGGCTCTCACTGGGGTGTGTTCATAGCACAAGTCTGATAAGTGATGTGCATTTTTATTTAAAATATCATCAGGGCTTCCTAAAATTAATAGATTTTAATTATTTGTATGTGGGGCTGGGATTATGCGCCTCTGTGTACAGGTACCTGGAAAGGCTACCTGAAGCTGGCTACCTGAAAGGTTCTCTGAAGCTGGAGTTTCCAGGCATGTTATTAGCAAATTGATATGTGTGTGGGAACCAGACTTGAGTCCTCTACAATCAAAGTATGTAGCCCCAGCTTCCCAGTGGTTTTAATAGCAATATCAGCATGGCCTAATGGCTTTGAATAGCCTAGTCCTCTCCCTAGTGTCCGTGCAACTCCATCTGTACTCCATCTGTACGCCACACTATATTCAGTTTTCCCTTCCAGAGGCTTCAGCGCTGACTTTTCTCTGCTTCTGCAAATGCCAATCAAAATGTGTTTGCAGATGCCCACCCCCAATTAAGGTGACACTGGCCTTCCTGGGATACCTTAAGTGGTCCTTATTACCTTTATTTCATTTTTATTCTTCACCCTTTCGCACATTTCCATGAAGAATTTTAGTTGTTTTCATGCTCTTTTATCCTCCTTCCTCCCCCACTGAAATTTTTCTCACCTTCAAGCCCGTTCCACTTTCATGCCTTCTTTTTGTGTGTGAACCACTGGATTTAGGTTTCTTGACAAAGCATAGGTGGGAGATTACTTGTCAGTTTATCAGTGGCTATGCCACTGAAGGAAACAACACACCCTCCCTGAAAAGCTGGCTAGTAGTCCATCAGAGAAGTGGGTGTCCTGTAGGGCCCCTGTCCTTGATGAGATACCATGGGTCCAATCTTATGCAGATGTATGTCGATAACCATAGCTGTAGTTATTTGTGCAATGGCTGTGTCACATCCAGAAGATGTCTTTGGGGAGCACTTCTCTTACAGACAGTATTTTAGTACTCTTATCCACAGTGTTCCCCAAGCCTTGTAGGTAGTGACCCAGCTGTCTTATTTAAAGCCAAGCCCTCCACTACCACTAAATTTTGGTGCTTTGGCCAGTTATGGGGCTTTATGCTATGAGCTACCTATTCCTAGAAGATGTTTCTCTGATGACGGCTGAGTGCCGGTCTAATCTGCAGAGCTAAGCTCAAGTGTCTAGGCAGCAGTTTGAGAACATGGTCACATAGCAGTAACAACAGCAGCAGCAGCAGCAACTAGTAGGGCTGGAGATGGGGTGGCTCAGTGGTTAAGAGAACATGTTGCTCTTCCAGAGAACCCAAGTTTAATTCCTAACACCCATCTGGCAGCTCACAACCATCTGTAACTCTAATTCCAGGCTATCTTGTGCCCTCTTCTGGCCTTCATGGGTACAAGGCACACATGTAGTATGCAGTAATATATGAAGGAAAAATACACATAAAATAATATTTTTTTAAAAAAAATAACAGCATTTTCTCCCAGGGTTTATGACCCCCTCCCCAGCCCCTATGTGTCTGCTCTTTACCAGGCTTAAAGAACCAGGCATGAGTTTTTTCTTGAGAAGTAGGCATCAAAACCAATCAGAAAGTGGTAAATTACCACCATACCCGTGATGCCACTATTAAACTGGAGGGTGTCAGCCCTGGCGGGCCACATTGTAGCTTCCAGGAGTCACAGCTGGAGAACGCTATTGATGACTTTTCCCCACCGGCAGGCTACAGAGCACCTTCTGGCACCACAAAGCTAGGCAGTGATGGGAAAGTATCTCTCAGCTTTTGCTTGCTTTCTCTGTCAAGACCAAACGTGTGGTGTCTTCGGGAATAGAGTCTTACCATCAATTTCCATTGGGCAACCAAAAACAATGAAAGTACCTTGTACCGTACTGGGAACTCTGACCTTGTACCGTACTGGGAACTCTGAGGTCCCCCTGACCTACAAGTTGTGGGGAGGTGTTTCATATCTGGCACTGATACTTTTGTTTAACAACCTATGGCTTTGGGGGAAAACATTGCCCACCCATACAGGATGTCTTAGTTACTATTCTATTGCTTTGAAGAGACACCACGGCCAAGGCACCTCCCATAAAAGAAAGCATTTAATTGGGTACCTGCTTACAGTTTTAAAGAATTAGTCCTTGATCATCATGGCAAGAAGCAAAGAGGCATGGCACTGAAGCTGTAGCTTTACATCCTGGATCCCAAGGCAGTAGGAAGAGGGAGAGGAGGAGGGAGGAAGGGAAGAAGGGAGAGAAGGAGAGAGGGGAAGGGAGAGTGAAGAACGAGAGAGAGAAACTGAGACAAAGACAGCAACTGGGGAGGGGGGTGAGACTGTTATGACATTTTGAAATCTCAAAGTCCACTCCAAGTGACACACCTCCTCCAACAGGCTACGCCTCCTTCCCAAACAGGTCCACTCCTTGGTGACTAAGTATTCAAATATATGAGCTTCTGGTACTATTCTAAAACCACTACAGAGGATACCTCCATTCCAACCTTGTTTTTAGGGAGTATTTTCTTTTTTTTTTTAAAGATTTATTTATCTATTATTTCTGAATACACTGTAGCTGTCTTCAGACACACCAGAAGAGGGCATCAGATCTCATTACAGATGGTTGTGAGCCACCATGTGGTTGCTGGGAATTGAACTCAGGACCTCTGGAAGTGCAGTCAGTGCTCTTAACCACTGACCCATCTCTCCAGCCCCAGTATTTTCTAATAACATAAAATAGCAGGTTTTCATATCATTTTAGAAAATATCCATAGTTTTGATTACCCATCCCTCTTTTCTCCCCTTTTCTCCTATATTCTTTCCCATTTCCTGCTTAGACTTACTCAAGGAGTTCTAGGATAACCTGGGCTAAAGAATGAGACACTCTTTACCTATAATATAATATAACACACACACACACACACACACACACACACACACACAGAGGCTAATCAAATACTATTCCAGGCTCCCACCTTAGAATCCAGAAATTAGACATGTAGAAACAACCTCAGAGAACATTAAATCCAATACCTTTAATGAGAGAACAGAGGTACAAAGAAGCTGAAGAACTCTGCATGCACACTGTGTTCCAGTCAAGTTTGAAACTTTAACACTTATTCCTTGAATCCAATACTGTTTCCTTTGCCGGGCTGTACTCAGCATCCATCTATGTGTATTAAGCGTATGTGTTACATTGGTGCAAAGGAAACCATTCTTCACCATACATGGGTGTCCTTTCTTTCCCAGCACTTAGCTTGCTGCTCCTCATTAACCATGGGAAGGAGGGAGAGTAAAGGGATCTGTTAAGAAATAGCTTTCTTTGGCTGAACCAGATCCCACATGGAATCAGAGGCAAAAGCCGATGATAATTCTTCTCATTTGTAAAAGCCTTTATATAAATTTATAAATTTTTTACCACATACTTAGGGAAACTTGCATAATTTCAACAAAACCACTTAACTAAATAAAGTTGAAAGTATTTGGCAACTCATAAGTATTCATTCATTTTTGTGTGTGTTTTAATTCCAGAAGAAAATAATGAAGAAATGTATGAAGATATCTACAAAGCAAAGAATAATGACCCCAAACCAGAGTGAGTGTTTTTCTTGGATTGTAGGCTGAAGGTGTTTCCTGTTTATCTAGTAAGCCAGGATTTACGACCTGGCCCCACCACCATTGTTGAGGGAAGATTACACAGAGGGATGATAAGCTGAAATACCACACTGTCAATTGTCAGCATATTCATTACTATGTACAATCACATGTCATAATAGTGAAGATTCATTGCTTTCTCCTTTGAGCAAAATGTCCATTTTCTAGAGTAGAGAACTTTTATATTACGTGGTAAGTTGTTGAGAGGGAAAGTAAATAATGATAGACTTTGCCTCGACTTTAGAGTTGGTGTCCCAGGAACAAAGCAATAAGTTTAACTGAGCCCTTGTCTTTGTGAGTTAGACAAACTCTGGGATTTACCCACTGGTGTTACAAACAATGTTTATTCAAATGAGCAGCATTGGTCAGGTTTAATTATAAACAGCAAGGAAAAGAAAACAGTATGTTCAACAGTGATGAGTCTGGAGACAAAGGGTGCAGTGATCCTGGCCGGTTATGTGGGTGAACTCCCTTTCGTCTCCATCCCCCTAAACCAAAAGGATACTTGGAAGAATTTCATCATCAGATGGCCCATGAGCGTGTCACCACAGCTGTACTCAGTTACTGAAGAGTATGTTAAATCAGTGATGGCAATTTCAGGAGCCAGTAATTCCTCAGATTCGTCTCTAGTACCATTTAGAGGGAGCATTTCCCTAGGTTATTTTTTCCCTGGGAAAGCAAGATTTTGCTTCCTAATCTCTACAAACATGCACACCATTTGTAGTAGATGAGTGTTTGTACACACTGTAACTACTCTACTCGCGGTTGCCTCAGATACGCTTCTTCGTATCCCAGCAAACTTCACTCCTAGCTGCTGAGGCATTTCCTTGTGCTTTCTTGCTTTGGAAGTGAGGCTGAAATTTCTGGTCCTTGATAATCCAACAGCGCTGTCTCCCACTTCTAGTACTCTCCCAAACACTCCATGTTTCCTCTCAGAGTAGCTGGGATGGCAGCACTGAGAAGATTGCAGCAGATCTTCAGGAAAGAAAATGGTGTGTTCGGAATGAAGAAAACCAAGTCAAAAGAAATTGTCAGGTAAACTGCCCCCTTTAGCCTTTCTCCCTGGACGCCATTAGCAACACTGGCCTCACAGACACATAGGATGCTGTTTGCCATCCAATTCTCAGCACCAGTGACGAGAGAATCAGAGCCTACCTATAAAGGCCCCAATTTCATGATACCCTAAGAAACTAGTGAGGAGAAAAAAATGACCAGAATAGGCAAGCAAGATCCAGAATGGGAAACATATTGTCATCTTCGACACCTTGTGTCATTATTAGCACTGAACTTAATGTTAGTGGTTACACGGCTTCAAGTTCTCTTGGCCACACAATCTTCTAGTGGTCTTACCTGTGTATCTGTCCATATTCACTTTGTCTCTCTTGAAAGCAACCAGATGTGGACATAGGTTACCCAAATGGATGGTCTGCGTATCTCAAGATCTCGGACTTAGAACCTTCCCCTCCCCTCTCTTCATGTAACCTCCACTATTAGTCTTTGGGAAGGTTCCAGCAGTGACAGAGAGAAGAGTTTCTTCCATTTGTGCTTACAGGACTTGGTTCCCTCATGGACGCAGTGGAAGGGGGACTGTGCAGCCTCTGGAGACATTTCTCTCCTCAACATCGATAGCGATAGGCAGGTCTAGATCTTCACTTTGTGAGGGCAATTTGCCAAGTAATCAACTGCATTCAGATAGTATGAAACTATTCTCCTCTCAAGTGCTTCCCAGTTATAAAATCTTGCAGTTCTGTGATTTTAAGCTCTGTGGTCTGCTGGAGCTAGATCTTGCAGTACGAGTGTGGGTACTGTAGTTCCCATCCGGCAGAGGGCACTCTGTTACTTTATTTTCTATCTCCCTTCAGGACAGAAACTGTATCCACATCTTACTCATCCAGCATAAGAGCCTGACTCATGGCTAATACAAAAACACCTGTAGTATTGACTTGAAATTAAAGGCTACAAAGGCACAGGTCTGTTTATCTGTCTGTCTCTCTCTGTCTCTGTCTCTGTCTCTCTCCCTCCCTCCCCCTCCCTTTTCCTTTTCCTATCACACATCTTTTTCCATGTGACCTTCTTAGAGACAAGAAGCAAATCTAACTATACTGCATGTTCTCTCCCAATTGGCAGGTTGCCATCTTACATTTCCACCTGACTGGGGTTTCTCTGTGCAAGTCTTCCTTTGGCTTAAGAAACACAGAAAGGATACAGTATATGCAGAGTCCCTATGGATTTATCTGTACACTGTTCTTTTTCATTCCTTATAGTCATTTAGTATATCTGACTGTCTCTTAGAAGACTAACAGACAGTTGTGGATTCTATGGATGCAGGTCTAGGCCGCAAGGCAGCCTGGGTGGTTAGGTAGGTAGGAAGTGAGTTACTGGCAGTCCACAGGGATGGATGAGCTCATTTGGAATGGGGTAGGGACAATCAAAACAGAGCTGCAAGAGTCTCTCTTGACAGCCTTGCCTAGAAATACCATCTGGACCAGATACCTGCCATCAGGATGGCATCTGGACCAGGCAGGCACCTGCCATCAGGATGGCATCTGGGCCAGGCACCTGCCATCAGGATGACATCTGAGATATGTCTGCTCATGAGCATGACTTTTTTCCTTGACCTTTTTTTGTCTTTTCCTCATTAGCAATGGATTTTCTATGTCACTGCCTGACTTAGGTAAGTGTCATTTGCTTGCCGTTGTCCACCAGTATTGCTGTCTTCAGGATTGGTATATTAAGGGACAAGGGAGAACACTGATTTCCCAATGAAAAATTAACCCATCAGAATGAAAGAAGATATCTCAACCAGCAGTACTTCCTGCTTTGGAGAGATGAGAAACCTTTTTCTGGCGTTTCCATAAATAGATGTTATTCTCTTTTTAGGAGGCTTCTAGGACCCACATCCATACTCTGTGATTGGGATTTGTACCCAAGTGTCTCTGACTATGAAGTTTAGACATTCTGCATTGATCTGCACAGCTCTGATAGATTTGCTAGCCAGATTACGACATGATAAATTGAGTATGAACATGATGCAGTCCACACACTAGCTGATTAAAAATGGGTCACCAGTTGTATAAGTTATCACAGTGCCTGACACATAGGATGCTTTCAATACATATCCAGTACATGGAATTTGCCAATAAACAGGATCTGTGTGATTTTGTTCATGGTTTTTGTTCATGGGCCCTATAAATATAGTTACTTTCATTAACAACTGTAACTCGGTGATTCAAACATACATTTCAGAATTATAAGCTGCCAAATTAAATAACAAAGGTTATATATAGACCTGATAAAATTGCAGCTCTCTCAAATATTGTCATAAAAAACTCAAAAGGCAACTTGGAATAGGAATTCATCTTACAGATGGATTACCTCTACTCCTCAAAACCACAAACCAAAATTGCACTAAAATCTGAAAGTTTTTTATTGCTGACAGAATTGAAAATTTCTACATCGGACTCCAGGTGACAGGTGTGTCACATGGCAGGCACAGTAAAATATTGTATGAAGTTACCATTAGGATATATGTAGCAAATGTCTATGAAATATTAACTAATTTCAAGTTTGTATTTAACTTCTGTTTCTGAGATACAATCTGTATATTTCCCACTGTATATATGCAAATATCTAAAATCTAAAAAGATATGATATCCAAAACTTTCTGTCCCAAAGCACTTAAAATAAGGGCTGTTGACTCTATAACCCCACCCAAACCTTAAAGGCACTGAGGGAAATTAGTAAAGCTAAGAGTAATTATGAATACTGGAAAATGAATTGTGAACATATCAAAATGTCCCAAATAGTGAATCATTTAAAAATCATAGAAGTCTATATTGAACAGTAGAATGAACATTACAAGCTAGAGGTAACTATCATTATATGCTAACTCAGAGTCAATGTAATACAATAGCATTCTAAAGAAACATTTATTTCAAACCATTGGTGTGAAGTAAGGAAACAATTGTGTATGTGTGTGTGCACGTGTGTGCATGTGTGTGGTAGGTGGAGACCAGCGAATACATTCCCATTTCCATTCCACTGGGTATTAAGAAAAGTCCCATCAGTGTTGCAGCAAAATAAATCATTCTTCAGTTCCAGGAATATGGGACAACTTACAATTCGACAAAACCAAATTGATGTAAATGCATATGCAGCTCAGACGCTGAGCGAGCTCACTGCTTTTTATTCCCTCAGCTGAGTTTCTTCCCCAAAGAGACTCATTTTGCTCCAGCCTGTCTATGTAATCAGTTAAAAGGCTTGAGGATACATTTGGGTAATTAGGTCATTGTGAATAATTTGGAAAGCTAGAGGTGTATGATGCATAGCTAATTTTTTTTTTGATCCTGTCTGTGCCTTAGGACCTACGTCTCAAGATGGTATCATCTATGATGATGTGGAGACACGTGAGAAAGAATCAAAGTAAGTCAGTTTACGGTACTGGTCATCCCTGGGGGCAACGATCACCACCTGATGCTTTGTTAAATACAGTCAGAGAGGCAGATGGTTGACAGACTGGACAAAGGTGCTATTCCCTCTGTTCTGAAGAAAAAACAATGACTATTGTCTCACTGGTGGCAGAACAGTGGTACCAAGACACAGGCATTGGAGCTTCGGAGTCTGTGTTTCTTATCTTTGAGTCTCGAAAATTTCAACACATTCAAATAGTAATCTTTTGTGTATCTGAAAAATGCCAGATAGCAAGGCTGTTTGATAGAACAATTTTCAAGGACTAAATCACTGTCACTATTATCTGTAGAAAGGAAACCATCATCAGACTCGGTGCCCCTCCCAGTTGTTGGTTGTCTTCTGTTCAATCTCCACCGAGCAGCTGGTGATGGGGGCCTCTCATTTTCAGTCACCTGTCCCTGTTCACTGTGCCAGGACTCATACTGTCTTGGTTAAGCTACTAAGCCTTTGTTAAACCAAGAGATATTCTTAAGATCATACCATAACTGAATTTTTCTACAGTGTTTTAAAATTCTGGTCATGCCATCCTTACAGGGGAAAAGTGTCCTGTTCTCCAGTGTTTCCGTGGAACAGTTCCCATTCCTTTTCTTGGCTTGTCTTAAGCTTTGCATGTGAGGTTTCTTCTCCCACCCATGCCTTAAGAATCAACTGTTCAGATGTCTTATAACAGTTCTATTATCCTGTCAAACATCCTTTGTTTGTCCTTTTTGCAGGACTGAGGATCTTTTTGAGGCCTCCTGTATGCCAGGCAGGCACTACACACTGCCCCCTCTAGGCAAGCACTGGGCACTGCCTCCTCTAGGCAGGCACTGCACACTGCCCTCTCTAGGCAGGCACTGCACACTGCCTGTGTCCTTTCATTTTATGTATTTCATTTTATTCAAGGCTTTGCTAAGTTGCCCAAGCTGGCTTTGAGTTTGGAATCCTGCCTTAGATTACCAAGTAGCTTGAAATAGAGATGTGATCCCCCAGTCTTCCCTCCTGTATATTTTTTTAGTGTTTTCTCAGCTATCCCCAAATATTTATAACCAAAATATCAAAAACTATATGGTAAGGTCAGAGTTTTCTGTTGTTGGTAGGTATTTAGTTCCTGAGTGATTTTGCATTTGTGATCAGTACTTCCACAGATATTGATTCCTGTTATCCTGTGTGTACTTAGAAGAGGAAATACAGACCAAACATGGAGTACAAATTCACAAATGCCATCCCAGCACACAAGAGTTCACCCTGGTCTCATATTAACACACAGAAGAGACAGAAGTCATTTTTGTCACATTGGTGTCTGTAAAGAGTATCACGTCGTAGTAATTTGCATCACTAACAGGCTTCAGTGCAGTTACACACTCTCAGGTCTTGCTCCTTCCTATACTGGTCATATCATTTGACTGCTTTTCTGTGGTGTGGCCAGTATCTTTCTTAGCCTTAGGTTTTAAAACAATTCATTTTGGACACAACTTTTTTCCTCTCTCATATAAATCACTACATCTTCCCCACCTATTGGCTGACTTTCTCAACTTTCTTTCTAGTCTTACAAAGAATAGAAATTCAAATCCTTAATGTATCTTTAAATTATCACTTTTTATTATTGCTTTCTATATCTTTTAAAGAACTTTCTCCTAGCTCATTCAAACATTCTCCTATATTCTCTTCTAAAAGTTGCAGCTTTGCCTTTTAAACTCAATCCTTAGGTCCACTTCAACTGAAGTTTTGTTTATTTGTTTCTGTTTGTTCGTTTGTTTGTTTGTTTTCACAAAAGGGTTTCTTCCCTGACTGGGAATCAAATCAAGGCCTCAGTGCTGAGAGCGTTGAGTCCTAACCCCTAGACTACCAGGGCACTCAAGTATTGCGTGAATTGAGTGTTATTTGAACAAGTGACAGCCAGTTGTTTTCTTCTATACAGATACATGTCTCATTTTCTCCAGCCATTTTGTCAAATCAAGTGTCCCAGCACTGAAGGTGTTTCCAGGTTCTCGCTTCTCTTCTGTGGTTGCCTCCATCCTTATGGCATTATGGAAAAGGCTGCAGGGCTTTCTTTTTTTCTTTTTCTTTTTCTTTTTCTTTTTCTTTTTCTTTTGTTTTTTTGAGACAGGGTTTCTCTGTATAGTCCTAGCTGTCCTGGAACTCACTCTGTAGACCAGGCTGGCCTCAAACTCAGAAATCTGCCTGCCTCTGCCTCCCACGTGCTGGGATTAAAGGTGTGAACCACTGCCCGGCTGATGCTGTGTTTTCTTATTTGTTCTTCCTTTCTACTGCTTCCAAAAACGTAGAAGACTTAGACATATTGTTTTAATAAAGAAAATAAACATGGGAGAGGGTGTCTGCCCAGCCTGTACCTACTCTCATGTTGTAGCTCCCTTTAAATTTTGTGCACAAGCTCATTCCAAACCCTGTTCTGTGCCTGGTATTGTGCAGAGCGTGTAGCAGATTCATTGGGACGAGGTCAGAGTTCCACCTTCTGGGAGCTAAAATGAGTGAACATGAGGCCATTAGAAAAGAAAGTTTCTAGAGCTGCCTTCTAGGCTTCAAAGATAACAGATGATGAGAAAAGAGAGGCGGGTGAGATCCCCAGCTTCAGTGACTGGAAGGGCTGAAACCTTCATATCCTGAAGTACCCTGTGACCAGAATCTTAAGACAAGGTGGGCTTGGCAGAGGCCTGTAGTCCTGGCTTCTATGGAAGGTGAAGCCAGGGAGTAGCAAGTTTAAGACTTAACCTGGGCCACATAATTTGAGATTTGAAATATAATTAAGTGGTAGAGTGCTTGCCTTGCATGTGCCAAGACCAGAGTTCAGTCCCTAGGACTGCATATCTAAAGGGAATCAAAACATAGCATCTATGAAAATGTAAAGTTTCTAACATACGTATTGTTGTGTTTGAAGGTTTCCTAGTGGAGAGTTACTTAAGTATTTAGGCTTGTCAACACTATACATAACTGGATGGTTCTTAAATCACTGAGCCATCTATCGAACTCCTATTTTATTATTTTAAAAACTAGCATACAAAGTATTTGATACCATTATTGCATTTACAGCATTTTCTATTAAAGTGTGTTTTAGTAGATTCTCTCTCTACCTACATCTTCCACCCTCTATGTCCCCACCCCCTCTTATAACCTTCTTCCTCTCTGCTCCTTCATCCTCCTCTGTAGCCCCCTCCATTCTTTCCTGATTTCATGTTATATGTGTCTTTTGCCCCACTCCTTCTTCAGTGTTTCTTTATCTTCTTTGTTTCCTTTCTAGACTGTTGGACTTATCTATACATGTAGTGTAATTTTAATCCAGCAACATGGCTGCTCTGGCAAGGAATCATATCCAAAGATATGATCCAGCTAGAATGCAGACATGCCCTGGCTTACAGTATGATCTGGCTGGAATACAGATAAGTCCTTACTACACGTCTTTAATCCCTAATAGAGGAAGTAAAGTTAGTTTGTAGAAGGAAGCAGTCATGTTTGAAAGTGACATCTAATTGAGGGCAGACAAAGTGATGAATCAGAGTAAGATTTGACATAATGCGTTAGATATGATACAACCAACTCTCACATTAACAGACAGGAAAGGGAAGCTACTTAAGAACAATGCAGAGTAAGTCAGGGGTAGAGGGCAGTTCAATGAGTGGTGGTAAATTGAGTTCAGGCAATGCAGTGGAGTTCAGTTGAGTGTAGTTGGGTGTAGTTCAGTTGAATGCATTAAGTTCAATTGAGTTCATGCAGTTCCATTCAGTTCTGTTCAGTTCATACAGTTAGTGCAGTTCAGTTTGTAGAATTCAAAGGTATATTTTCCCAGCAGAACAATTCAGGAGAAGCCAAGAGAAGCCAGTTTGAATCAGTTAGTTTGGAAAGGAGTTTTGAGCCGTAACAGCTGAGTTGAACCAGCCAGCCAGAGTTCAGAAAGGACTAGAAAGGGTGAGCTTATTCAGCAGTAAGCCTCTGAGACAATTATATCTGACAAATAAAAGTTACTTTTACATATATGCATGGATGTAAACATCACAGACTAGGATCCACATGAGAGAGAACATAGGTTTTGTCACCTAATTTAATATTATACTTTCCAGACCTATTCATTTTCTCACAAGTTTCATTTTTATTTATACCTAAACTTTCATTGTATATATTTACCACATTTTAGAAAAGAATTATTTTAAATTCTGTGAATCTGTCTGTGTGTGGTATATGTACATATGAGTGCAGGTGACCTCAGAGACCAGAGGTGTTGGATCTCCTGGAGCTGACGTTACATAAAGTTGTGAGCTGAGAACTGCACTGGGTTCTTTGTAAGAACAGCACATGCTCTTAACTACTTAGCTGTTCCTCCAGCCCCCATGCCATATTTTGATTATCTATTCATCTGTTGATAGATATCTGTCTGGTTTCAATTCCTTGTTATTGTGACTACTGGGGAAATGAATATGGATGTGCAAATATAACTGTAGTAGACAGGGAATCCTTTGAGCATATGCCCAAGAGTGCTAGATCTGGGTCATGTGCTAATTTTGAATTCTTCAAAAACCTCCATACTTACTTTTATATGGTTATGCTAATTTGCACATTCATAAGCATTCACGGTTGGTGATGTTCTCCATTCCTACCAGGGTGAGGTGCATCCTTAGCTATTAGTAAATTGGAAGTTTACTAGTAGGATTCACATTTTATGGGAAAAAAACAAAAACAAAACAAACAAACAAAACCCTGAGGCTCAGAAAGGATAGGTATGATTACAAGCTGGTTAATTTTGTTTCTGATGAGGTCAAATTTGGGCCACTGAGAAGTCAACAGGTTTTGTCCTGTGGGCCAGTGTGGCCTAGACATTTTTGTAAATCAAGTCACACCAGTAGAGCTATTAGAATGTTCATTGTACGGCCTTACTATAACTATGGAGCTGAATAGTATCAATTTCTAGATGATGTTTAAACTACTTTGGCCATTGTCCTAGAAAACACTGAGAGTTTTGTAAACGTTTACTAGTTGAATCTTAATGTACATAATCAAAACATTTTCTCCTCAGAGATGAAGATAAAGTAAAAACTTGGAAGACTAAGTTTTTGACACCAAAAGGAAGAAAGTGGGGGAAAAGCAGCCATGGATCCAAAAGGTAAGAACACAAATGCACTTACAACTCCACTACTACAATTTCTACAGCTCTTGTCAGCCGTGGGACCTTAGGCAAGCCCTTAACTTTGATTTCCAGGTTCTTCACCTGCAACTGAGAACTAGCAGCACTTGCCTCACAGTACAAGTGAGAGGAGATAAAAGAGACAAAATATAAATACACAGTTCCTAACAGCCATCCCCAACCTGCTCCCTACTCTCCATCAATGAGGAATAAGAAAGCATGGGAGGTAGCCCCTAGCAAACAACGAAGGATCTACAGTTTTCTTCTCTTTTAGACCATAGAAGCATCCCTCCAGAAGGAGAGAGCTTAAATAGAATATCAACCAGAACTGACTTTGTTAAAATGTAAGTTTAGTTATGACTAAACTTAGAATGTAATCAGAACGCTTCATCAGCTCAGAAGATAACTTGTACTCATGTGCTTAGACTGCACTGGCTGCTCAGGGAGAGCATGTTCTCTAATGCATACTTACCTATGTGCTCCTCTTGCCAGATGCAGGATCTGGGGGACTTTCTTTGACAAACTTCTTGGGGAAATCCTTAGTAAATAGTCAGTGGTTTGTTTGCATCAGGAAACCTATGGTTTTCTTAGGGTATCCCAAGAGAAGTCACATTTGTCTGTAGCAAATTTAAACTCAGAGTGGCAAAGGCAGCCCTTCCCTTAAGCTTATTTTTACCAATTTGGAAAGAGGTATCCAAAAAAAAGTTGATTTTTGTTTTTTATCTTAAACATCACACTTGTTTGCATAGCATAGCTGAAGAGAAATCCAAGTGCAATGTCAGGAAGGTTTCTGAATCCTTTTCTGGCACAGCGTTATCTGTCATCAATACACATCTGTCTTTTGGGAAAACAATTTTATAGTACTTGTTTCTTAAACTGACTTAATATTATTCTCAATTTGAAAATACAATGATGAGGCTATCATTGTTTCTGAAGAGCAATGGATCAATTTCTTGGATCCACTTATAATGGTTTCTGGAACAACTATTCTACCAATAAGTAAAGTGTTTTCCATATTAGTTAACTGACAGCTTATTTTACCAGTAATTACAAAATTTGGTTGAATATTCAAATACAAAGGCATGGATAGCCTAAATAGACACTGTATGTGGAGGGAACATGTATGATTCTAATAGAACCAGCATTTGATATAGGTAGTTCAATACCCTGAAGGGTGTTATCTCAGAGTGGCATGATTAATTTAGAAAGTTATCTCTCTAATGGTATGCAGATGGATTTCTTTTACAAGAATGGACATGGAGAATAGTATTGTTACCAGTGGTCAGAGTCTAAGAGAGATATTTCCAGGTTCTTGGAAATATTCAAGAATATTTGAATATTTCTTATTCAAAGAAATAAAAACCAACATATGCTGCAAAGTATTGAGGGAAATTTATTCAAAGCAAGGAACTAGAATAGGTCAGAATACACTGTAAGAGAGCAGCAGACCTCAGGCCTCAGGATGTTGTTTGAGGCTTCTTTGTATGAAATCCAACAGTGGGATGCAGTTGCTCACAGGTGTGCAGTTTGAGTGATTTTCTTAGATTGGGCAATATAATCATGTATTTCCTGTGCATGTCTGTCCCACAATGCATCTGATTTTACTCATGTGTGTGCCCAGTTATGGGATGAGTATAAAATAATAAATAAGGGCTTCTCCCTGAAAGTTTACATACGGACATGGTTATCTTCATCGCACATGTACCCAAAGCCAGTTCAGGCCAGATCTTCCTTTCCATTTCTGTAGCAGGACATATGCAAGCAAAGTATAACTGAGTACAATCTCAGTTTGATAGTCATTCATAGTAGGATGTATATGCTGTATGATGCAGATTTGTCCAGAGATGTATATGTATGGTAACAGTCTCAAGCTGTCAAGTGCATTGTAGCTGATGGCACCAAGTAGGGTCTCAGGTTACTAAATTATGCCATATGCTTCCACAGTAATCTGCAATGAATGTAGGTGTAACTAGAATCTTGGAAAGACATACTCCAATATAGGAGACACTTCTCACTAAAACTGACAGGACTTGGGTGATAGTACCCTGTCTGTCCATGTATGAAACTGCTGAGTAGAACCAAACTCCATTTGTAAAGCAGGAGACAGGATAAGGGAGGGCTCTCCAGTCAGCTTCTGCTGTATGTCTGTCCATTTTATTTGCTTAAAGTCTTACCTATGTTTGTTGCATCTTGCTGTATGTTCTTAATTCTGTCCATGTATTCCTTACATTTCCTGTTGCTATAATAAAATATTCCCCAAACCAACTTAAGACAGAAAGGCTTATTTTGGCCCAAGTATAGTCCATCACCCCAGCTCTTGTTTCTTTACATTGAAAGCATAAAAAATTTACAGTTAAATGTTGTCAAAACCAGTTACCTTCTTGTGCTGTTTTATGGTAAATGCCCCCATAGTCTCAGGCATATGAATACTTGGTTCCAGTTGGTGGCACTGTTTGGGTACATTTAGGAGATGTGGCCTTGCTGAAGGACATATGATACTTGGGGAGTGGCCTTTGAGAGTTTAAAGACTCTGGTTATTTCCAGTTCTCTGCTTAGTGTTTGCTGTTCCAGTTACTGTGCATGCCATAATGGACTCTAATCTCCCCAGGAACTGTAAACCCAAATTAACACTTCCTCTCTATAAGATGCCTTAGTCATGGTGTTTTCTCACTGCAACAGAAAAAGAAAAATAAATAATGCACCTACTACTCTATAAACCATATTATTTCTCTTATTCTGTTGCTCCTCCTGCACTCAACCATTCTCTTTATATCAAGGTGATTTTATTCCGTGCTTGCTTGCTATAAAAATATTCTTAGAGAGAAAGCTCAGTAGTAGGATGCTCACTTGGTATATATGAAGCTCTAGGTTTGATCTTCAGCACTGGGAAAAAATACATATGTATGTATTAAACAGAAACATAGTTGATATTACCTTCTTCAGAAGTTATGACAATCTGCTCTAGTAGAGGGATGTGTACAGATAGATGTGTGTGTATAGGCATAGATATATGTGTGGGGAAAATTTAAGAAGGCCGCCACAGCTGCGCAAGCCCCGGAGAGGCTTCTGCCGTGTGGCGGGTCCCACATTAGGGAAGAAGTTCTATGGTTCCAGCGGCCTGAGGGCCTTGGCGGCGGCAGGCCCCAGTAACACGAGGAAGTCCTTGGTTCCAAAAAGGTTTATTGTCATGGCGGATAATAGATGGATCTAGGCGTACCCCCAAAAGCTCAGGGCAGTCCCGAGTTATATAGGGAGGGAGAAAGGGGGAGGGTTGGGGGAGGATCTGGGGGAGGTATGTTTAATTTGCTCTGCCCTCTGGCCTTCATTAGTATGTAAATCCCTAGGGCCTGAGGCCTATAGCCTGACCTATGTAGTAATTCTATGGAGACTGTGACCACTTTTTCAGGATCCTGGGTTCTGGGGGGCGTCGAACTCCTGCCGGTTCTCATGTAGAATCTCGCCCAGAATCTACAGAGTCTCGGGGTTCTAGACACCTGGTCCACCATGATCCAGGACACCCTTACGCAGTCCCACATCTATGTAGAATTATACATATACAAACTTGGACCTGAGTTTATCCTGAAACAGGGTGAGTTCACAGACTCACAAATGTAGGATGTTTGTCGTGCTACACTTACCTCTACCCATGTTATTTCTTGACAGTTTTTCTCCCAGACATTTTTTCAGAACTAAGAAGCAAAAATTAGAAAAGAATAGAATGGAAAAAGAAGAAAAACTCTTCAGAGAAAGATTTCAGGTACGTTCTCTTCTGAACATAAAAATTAGCAGAAAATGAATGCCACTGACAATTAAACCTTCCACTTCTGAAGGCTCCACTAGTTTGCAGTGTCTCGGCCACTCTGAGATAAAAGACATGATCTTTTTTATAAGTCTGATACATTCCTATACTGGCATGCCTTTGTGTATTACTAGTCCATCTGATAAACTTTCTACAGTGTTCTATTCAAACCTCACTTCCTCAGCTTATTTGTACAGCATTGTTTAGAAGGAGAGCCTTTCATATTTCAGTTCCCAGTGTGTGGGACATGTCGTATTCAAGGAATACTATAGCAACATCTCAAATTCATGGCTTTCATTAAGAGTCTATGGGGCATTTTCCACGGCTCCCAAGTTGAAGTGGTCCTTTCTGATTTCAAAGTTTGCCACAGTGAGAACTTCTGCATTCAGGAAACATTTTTATCACCATCCACGCGCTAAACAGCAGATGAAATGAGACAAATTCTATAAAGAGGAGGCACACTGTAAGCCAGAGCTCTACCAGAAATGTTTCTTGGTAGCTCCCTCAAGTCAGGACCACAGCTAGTCTTTGTTTCCTGTCCTCACATTCTGCCTCTGCTCTTTCTGCTTTACCAACAAACTGCTCATAGTTTTGTTTCTAAGAGAGCTGGCATTCCTACCTCACCTTACCACTCCTTCCTCCAGGCACTGACTTGGTCTACTCCATATCTAAAACGCCCCCTCCACTTTCTCCAGCTTCCAATTGAGGCATCATCTCATTCCAGAAAGACTTGATCAAACCTTCTGATTAAAGGGATTGCTCTTCTGCTTCCCTAAGGACCAACTTCTGTGCAGTTCATTACACAGCACTCCAAGCTCCTCGGAGACCGCTATCATCTCTGTCTTCACATTCATGTGCTCAGCAGAGCCACTACCTCAGGCTTCATACATATCCCAAACTGTTCTGAAAGTGAACTAAATAGGACTTTACATAAACCCTTAACCACTGCTATCATCTGCTTGGCTCAAAGGTGGTATTATTATTTGATTAGATCAAAACCAACAGTATAGCAACCTCTGGTTGAAAGACCCTATAATCCATCTAGCATTTTCTCTCTTGACTATCTCAACATGGGACAGAAATCCCATCTCTGTATGCAATTTAAGTCTATCCTTAATTACCCGAGCTGGGCTTCTAGTTACCTTTAGGAAAAAAATATGCCATTTCAATCCAGCTCAAATGAAAAAATAGTGTGTACTTTCACTGGTGAAGCCTTTCCTTTTTTCAAAAAAAAAAAAAAAGCCAGTGTGTTTGCTAAATTCTACAATAGAAATGCTTAGTACACTGGCAACAGTAAGGTGTTCATGGCTGTCACAAAGGTCTGAGAGGTCGTTGGCAGATGAATATTTCAAATAGAAAAAAAATGAATGCATGGGTAAAGGCCTGGAGAGGTGGAAGTATGATGCATTTACAAAGTCTCACGGAGGACAGAGACAAAGGGACAAGGATGACAGTGTGCCAAGGACCTATAGTAGCAAGCTAAAAATATGTGGGTCTCATCCTAAAAGCAACAGAGTTTTCAGAACTTTGTAATTAGGTGACCTACATCAGAGCTGTATTTGAAAAAACCACTGGGGATTCCTAGTAAACACAACCAAGGGTTTCCGGGGGTAGCAGGAGCACTCTTAGCCAGTGGAGGAGGAAACTGGAGTGGAGGCATTCCATTGTAATCTGCCGAAGTGGACATCTATGACCTAAACTACCTCTCCTAGGTTTGTTTTCCCGGTCAGTGCATGACCAGGTGAATCACTTGTAGAGACTAGTTCGTCTGGAAGAAAATATCCTGTAGGTTTAGGAACCGAATTTCCAGTCGGAGGCTGCTCCATCTCAAATGCTTGTCTTTCACCAGACACGGAGAGGGATCTGTCCTCCTTATACTCAACTACTGGCATTTTAAAGTACATGTACTCTACAAAAGTGAGGGTGGAGCATCATGCAGAAACAGAAAGCTCTACAGTTTTGTTAAATGTTTCCTCTCCTGAGTCGGGAGGTACCTTTGTTATTGTTACAGCATACCAAGGTGGTATATTCTAACTCACTAGGACTTCGTTCTAATATGTATTTGTGGATGTGAAAACAGCTTCAAGATGTAATCACATCAGACAAATGTTATTTTAAGGGAGTCCCACTGTAATATTCCCATCATTTATTATTTCCACGTATCTAGCATCCTATATTTTGAGGTTACTATATTATACCCTAAATTAATTCTGTTATAATAACCATGTAAACATGCCCTTACTAGTAATTTCTCATTTCAGTATGGTAAAGAAATCATGGTCATTAACAGAGCTGTAGCATGTTCCAGTAATTCACGAAATGGAATATTTGATCTGCCAATAACTCCTGGGGAACAGCTGGAAGTCATCGACACCACTGAGCAAAACTTAGTGATATGTCGCAATTCCAAAGGCAAATGTGAGTTCATGTTGAAATTTTTTCCTTATAGTCAAGAATTTTCTCTAGAACTCTCAGGTTAGTAAAGTGAGTTTTGTTTCTACAGATGGATATGTGCTCATTGAACATCTAGATTTCAAGTAAGTTGTTTAATTTTATATCCAATCATGAGTTCCAGGTACTTAATGTGTAGTGTTGTATACTCTAGTCTTAAAGGACTTTGGAAACCAGCTATGTAGTGCTCTGTCTGGGATTGCATCAAAAGTGGCTGTGCTAGTCACTGGACTTCCAATATACTTACCAAACTAGTAAACAGAGCCCATTTGTAAACAGTGTTTAGAAATCCCTGCAATCTCCTAACTGTTCTGATATCATGTATTTCATAATGCCTGCACGTGTTCCTTTCTGTCCCAGACATCAGGGCTGATCTCATTAGGAAGGTCTGCGTGATGTCAGGATGTGTCCAAGGTGTGAGTTCAGCCCCACAGCTCCTTCAACTCCTGCCTCAAAATGAGATGGGTGGTGGAAACTTCTGTCGGAAACTCAGAAGAAAACCCTCAACAAGTCGATGCTGGTTTTACTCCATGAAACTTTCCTGCTGGTTCAAGAGAGTACGAAACAGTATGTTAGTATGAGAGCACTTGCCTAATGAGCCATAGCCTAAGTTTGAAATCTTGGCTTCAGGCACCAGGGACTTGGGCAGCTGGTGAGTGAACTTCCAACGTTAGTATACCGTGTACGTAACTTCTTGGTGCACATCCACATTTCATATGAATTCTATGTAGTAAATAATGTGACCAAGTTCCTTTAAATGATGATGACGACAGCACCACCTGAGCCATAATCACTTGGTTTGTTTTTTTAACCAAGGTGAACGACTAGAAGACAAGTACTGCTGAAGGGAGCAGTTTGCTAGGTGGGAGGTTGTGGGGGTGGATTCTTTTCTAACTCAACCAGAACTATTGTTTAGAAGTGTTTAAGTATATTTAACAAACATGTGAAAATATATAAAATATATACATGTTGTATCATGTTAAAATGGGGAAAATTATTAATCTATTGGCTAAAACACACCCAAATGCATTTCATTTATATGACAGTAAGTAGAATTTAGTTGTAAATAAGATTCTGGTTCTACCTGATATCCACTGTATGTTAATAAAGTCTACATATGCTTTTAACTAACTATTACATTTTAAGTTCACTTCCTAATCTCCCAGAGGACTCCAGTTCAGTTCCCAGCACCCACATGCAGTAGTCACTATATCTGTAACTCCAGGAGATGACACACCGTCCTCGGCCCTCCAGGACACCTGCATTCATGTGGTATTGGTACATGCATGAAGAATTGTGCTTTAGCAAAAGGTATGAAGGAAGCTTTTTCCTGACAGATCCATCCTTCCTATTATGAATCTTTTTAGGTTTCTGTGGGTTTCCATCTTCCTTTACACGGTCCCAATGACATTTGCCAATAAAGGGCATTTTATCCTAAAACAGATGATTCAAAGGTATTTACAGAGTTCTAAGTTTATAGAATAAAACAGGTACATTACCACAAATAGAAAAAACTAAACACATGGAATGGCTTAAGGATTAAGAGGGGTGTTCCAGCTAAAATGGCACAAAGGTTTGTCTGAAAGAAAGGCAGAAACTAGAAAAATCTAGAAATCCAGGCTAATAGTATGCATTGAGTCTGGGGAAAGCTCTGCTTGGAGGACTTCCTCTAAATACTGGGGACCCACTCAAGGATTAGGCTAACAGAAAATGCCAATGTTGGGGGGGGATCAGGGTTAATGGTGTTACAGATTACAGAGAAAAAAATACCTCTTTTCAATATTCAGTAAGGGAAATTTCACAAAGCCCTCACACCCAGATGAAGAGCTAAAGGCAATCAGTGGCTGAGGAGAGAAGAGGACTGTCTCCTATAGGAATAAGCTCCCTGATAGGATTCAACCCTAAGACATGTACAGAGAACAGTAAAGGAGCCCACTAGGTTGTGTGTGTGTGTAGCTCATCTGTTTGTTGTGTTTGGAAGTGAACTTGAATTGGCAAAGACAAATGCAGCCTTAATGTGTCAGCATGTGGGTAGGGTGGCTGGAAACACAGAAAGTTCCTCCTGGTGGGAAGTTACGCGCAGCAGTTGCAGCTACAGCGGCTCATTAAAGGCCTTCTGCATGATTCCTCACAGTGTGGCCCCAATGACATGAGAAAGTCCTTGGTTCCAAAAGGGTTTATTTTCATGGCGGATGGTAGATGGATCTGGATGAAACTCAGGGCAGACCTGAGTTAAATAGGGAGGGAATGGGGGGGAAGGGTCTAGGGAAGCTTAATTGGCTCCGCCCTCTGGCCTTCATTAGTATGTAAATCTCTCTAGGGCCTGAGGCCTGTAGTCATGCCCTCTACCTGTGCACTTTGGGAGCCCCCCCATGGCCTACGTGACTGAACAATGTAGGTCCATGGAGACTAGACTGCGTGTCAGGACCCTGGGTTCTGGGGACGTGGCTGAACACCCACAGTTTCTCCCTTGGAGTCTTGGAGTTCCAGGCCCATGCTCAGCCAAGAACCAAGATACCCTTACACAGTCCCACACCAGCACAAGTAAATGGAAGGAGTAGGTACAGCCATACTGATCTCTGACACATTAGACTCAGAACTGAAGCCCGGCACAGGAGGTAACCAATGTCACTTCATTTTTGATTCCAGGAACAACTCTAAGCATACACTCAGCAAATACCAGTGCACCTAATTTCATTAGACTGACCTCCATATAGAAATACTGGTTGGTGACTTTAACACCCTGCTTTCACCAACAGTCACCCAGACACATAAGCAAGTAAACTTCAAATGAATGGAACAGATGTCTGCATAATATTTCACCCACAGAGTGCACATCATTTTCAGCTGCCTAAAAACAGACCACAGTTTTACAAAGCAAGTCTTTGCAAATATTAAAAAAAACTAGAATAGCAGAAAAATTAGAGGTTTTTTTTTCATGAAAATAGAACAACACACTATTGAACAATTTTTTATAAAAAAAAAAGAGGGAAATTTCAGGATTTGTAGAACCCAATCATAATAAACACATGGCAGAACCTGTGCTATATTCTGCAAATCTTTCTGCAGTGGGAAGAGTGCAGCTTTAATTTAGCCCAAGGCAGTGGTTGCACCCATCATCTCAGAGTTGGCATGAGCATCCCACGACCTTGCCTGTATCATCTAACAGTCTGTGCACATTCCCCAAGGCTTTGGCACTTGTCAGTCACCCTAGAGGTCAACCTGTGCTACCAAGGCTTCCTCCACTCCCCAACACCCTGGTGCTCACTGCCCTCACCAAAGCTTTAGCCATGCCCATAGTCATGCTGTCACCTAAGCAAGGCCAGATCACCACAGCCACCCCATGTGTGAATAAGCACCTGTTGTCTAGTTTCTCCAGCTGAATTTGATGCAGGCACAGTGAATTCCATACAGGTGCAGTGCTGGCAAGGAAGGATACAACCCTTAGCAGCTGTGACCCATATATGGACTGAAACATTTTCCAGTGCAGACTAGCAAGGGTTAAGAGTTATTCTCCTTTTGTTTGTTTTGCTATGTTGGTTAGTACATGGTTTGTTTTTTTTTTTTTTTTTTTGAGACAGGGTTTCTGGCTGTCCTGGAACTCACTCTGTAGACCAGGCTGGCCTCGAACTCAGAAATCCACCTGCCTCTGCCACCCAAGTGCTGGGATTAAAGGTGTGCGCCACCACTGTGCAGCTTATTCTGTCTTTTTGTGTTGTGTGTTTGGTTTTTAACTCACTGTGTGTCTTAGTTAGGGTTTTACTGCTTTGAACAGACACCATGACCAAGGCAAATCTCATAAAGGACAACAACATTTAATTAGGGCTAGCTTACAGGTTTACAGGTTCAGAGGTTCAGTACAGTAGCATCAAGGTGGGGACATGGCAGCATCCAGGCAGGCGTGGTACAGGAGGAGCTGAGTTCTACGTCCTCATCTAAAGGCTGCTAGCAGAATACTTGATCCCAGGTAGCTAGGACAAGGGTATTAAAGCCTACACCCACAAGGTCACACCTACTCCAACTAGGCCACACCCTCAACAGTGCCAATCCCTGGACCAAGCATATAAAAACCATCATATTCCACTCCCTGGCCCCCATAGGCTTGTTCAAACACATGAGTCTATGGGGGCCATATCTAGCCATAGCATATTGGAAAACTACATTTAGTCCAACTTTCAAAAGTCCCCACAGTCTATAGCAGTATCAACAATGGAAGAAATCAAATTATCCATTTCCAGATGACATGATTCTATACTACTCTATATTTAAAAACCTTTTAAAGTATATCAGAAAGTCAGTTAATAAGAATTCTCAGTAACTTTGCAGTATACAAGTCAATATACAAAAAAGCAGTACTTTTCTTACATACCAGCAATGAAATTGCAGAGAAAGAATTAGGAAAAAGTTCTAGTCACAATAATTCAAAAGAAAAAAGGACCTAGGAATAAACTAAAGCAAGGACGTGAAGGTCTTCTAAATGAGATGGTTAAGACACTGAGCGAAAATGCTAGAAAACAGAAAGGTCTTCCCTGCTCCCAGAATGGCAGGCTATCATTAAAAGCCATTGCATTACTAAAAGTAATCTGTGGATTCAATGCAAGTCCCATCAAAATTCTAATGTCACTCTTCACAGAACTAAAAAGAAGAACACAAGAATTCATATGGAACACAAATAGCCATAGCAAGCCTGAAGAGAGAGAACACAGTGTCAGGCATCATACTACCTGGTTTCAAACCTTGCTATAGAGCTATAAGGATACAACATAAAAATAGACGTAAGCCAGAGAAAAATAATAGTGGTGCCAGAAATAATCCCAATAACTATGACCACCTAATTATTGACAAAGGTTTTAAAAACATAGTGAGAGGGGAGGAAAAGGCCAACTTGTTCAACAATGGTGAGGGAAAAAATCTGTCATCTACCTGCAGATAAAGTTAAATCCACACCACTTCACCCGGTACAAAAAGTAATTTAAAGTGGATCAAACAAAGCCTTTAATATAAAACCTAAAATGCTGAATCTGCTAGGAGAAACCACTTCAAAATATAGGTATAGCAAAGAACTCTCAAAACAGGGCTCCACTACCAAAAGAAACACACCCCCAAACTAATATATCAAACTGTATGAAATTAATTTTTTCTGCAGATCAAAACAAAACTATCACAAAAGGTGAACAGTCTATAAAATAAGAATATTTTGTCATTTATGCTTCACATAAGAAGCTAATATCCAGAACTGAAAAATAACTGTAAAAATTAAACATTCAGAAATAAAATCAGCAAACACATAGACTAATGAAATGAACAGATAGAAGAAACACAGATAGCCAAAAAGTACTTTTATTTTTTAAGGGAAATAATATTCGTTAATATTTGTTAATATTCGTTAATATTCATTAATACAAGGTCACTTGGTACCAAGACTGACATCCTGGTCAAGTATCTGACAATATTTTATATATGTCATTTATTCCTTAAGAAAAAAAAAACATAAAAAAAAACATAAGGACCTTTTGAGTTTATACATTGCTGTGTCCACTTTATAGATAAACTAAATTCTAAGATAATGACTAGATTCCTCACTCAATGTATTCAAGAAGTAATCACTGGGAACTTATCAATAAGTATTTTTAAAAGTATTCAACATCCCCAGCCATCAGGGTAGTACAAATTAAAATACTATGATAGGCCATCTCATTCTCATCAGAATAACTATAATTAAAACCACAACACACACACAAACATACATACACAGAGACACACATAACCACTCCACAGAACACTAGCAAACACACACTCCACAGAACACCAGCAAACACTCCTTAAAGTGTGAAAAGGAGGAACCCTTATTCATTGCCAGTAGGTGTACAAACTAGTACAGTCATTATAGAAAGGAGTGTGATGGTTTCTCAAGAAGTAAACACAGGACCCAGAGTGGTAACTCCTGGGCCCAAACCCAAGGGTCTACATTTCCTACCTTCAGAGACACGTGTACACCTGTGCTTATTGCTACAGTATCTACCAATTATGAGGAAAAGGAACAGCTCCAGTGCCCACCAACTGATGGGTAATGAAAATGTGCTGCATATGCATAATAGAATTTTACACAATTATAAACACACATGAACTTTATA